TATATATATATATATATATATATATATATATATATATATATATATATATATATATATATAGTAGTTAGTTACCAAGATAATTTATTATTTTATAAATTTTTTTGAATTATCATTAATCATTATTTTTTTATTCCAAAATATTATTCACTCTAATTATAATCAACCATTTCTAAAGTCAAACTATTTATGATTCAATGAAATGGTCATATACTTTAAATATCTAATTGATAATAAACCATGAAATATATATGGAGCCAAAATAAATGAATCTTGACAATGGTATCCAGAAATAAATCTATTTGTTTTTTCCTTATATAATGAATGAGTATTATCCTTTTCGATATTTTGCTCTCTGATATATGAATACAATCAATTAGATGGTGGTTAGAGGTAGTTAACAGGAAACTCTGGACCCGGGTTTCGTGCTACTTGGCACTCGTCAGCAAGGTGTACCTGTAACAATGTATATAACACTGCAACATGGTCGATAGCATTCGATCTGCACTAATAAGGACTAGACAGGCATGACATTAAACACCACCCAGTGATCAATCAATTACATCTCAGTCCTACAGGAGGTTAGTCACGGCTCGGATAGCTCAGTGGTAACGTCTCTGACTGTGAAGCTGGGTGACACGAGATCGAATCCGCCAGGGAGCACCAGTTCCCTCAAGATTACAGGTACACCTTGCTGACGAGTGCCAAGTAGCACGAAACCCGGGTCCAGGGTTTCCTGTTGACTACCTCCAACCACCATCTAAGATGTAATATGAGTTAATTTTTATTTCATAGATATTCTCTTTATCTTTTAATAATCTAGAAGCAATTATGTCAATGATTAGAAACGAAATGTACATACTACTGATTATATATATATATATAATGTTAACTGGTGTGAACATTCTAGAAGAAGACTTTCAAATCATAAAGAGAAAAGTTTCTAGAAACAATAAAAAGTATAGAATGAATAAAACTCAAAAAGTTGGAGTAGTGAAGATTTTCGAATTATATTGAAATCATGAACCTGTCAATATAAAACCATCATTAAAAATAATGAAAGTAATGGGTAAACTGTTTCATCATAGAATGGAACTTCTTAAAGTTCTGAGTCCGAATACTGCATATGAAATTTTTGGATGCTCACTGTTGAGCAATCCTTATACTAGGATGAAACGGCCATCCAGTATTTGCACATTTTCAATAATTATCTAACGTTGATCAATTCACGATTTTAATGAAAAAAGAAATTTCTAATTAAGCATATAAATCATAATATTACGTAATTAATGGTTATAAAGCTGAAATCACTAGGATAATTTGAAACTGGATAGGTTCACTTATCAAAGACTGATACAGTTATAAATTTTAAAACTAATCAGATGACTCTAAATTTCCATAGTATAATTGCGTAATATCCTATTTTATACGTTCATTTATTTAAGGGTAGGGGCTTTACTCATTTTGTTCTGATAATTTATCCATTTCTAATGATTATAATCACGTTGTTTCTCATAATAATTTTCATTTTTCTAAAAAAATTGTCTGAATATGATTTGAAAATCCTTTTATTCTCTAGAATATTCACATCGGTTAATACATAACTATCCAATCAGTAGAATATTATTTACAGTTATCAAATATTGGATGCCGGATCAGTGGTCTAGTGGTTAAGTGCTCGAGCGCGCGAGACTGATAGGTCCTGGGTTCGAATCTCGCGAGGTGAGGTCACGGGTGCGCACTGTTGAGGAATGCCATGTTCGGACGAAACGGCCGTCCAGTGCGTCAAGGTTTTCCATGGTGGTCTAGCTTCAATCGATTCATGATCTTGTAGTGTGGCATGGAGTCGCAATTGACTATGATCACCACTACAGGAAGACTACGTGCCAGTTAACCGATAAGTTCCTTCGTAAGCCAAATATCAGAAGGTAGTTGATGGCTGTAGTCGAGATGTATTTGCTGGCGATCTCGTGGTATCGAAAGAATACCGAGATCGTGCCAGGTCACAAGTGTGGTTACTGAGCGTAACCGAATTCGTGAGAGGTCACAATCAACGGAACAAGTAAGGTAAAACAACCTGTGGTACAATTGGTTATAATAATAATTGTTTCCATTACACCAATCGCGTTCTCTTGATAAAAGTAGGTCACTACAATCTCAATATTGAAAATATTTATTATTTTTAGTAGTGGAATTCGTGAGTCGATCTAAGCTAGACCCTTATTGAAGACCTCGAAGCACTGGATGGCCATTTCATCTTAGTATGGGACTCCTCAGCAGTTCTTATTCACGATCCCACATGCTGGAAACAGACACAAGGCGAACGATAAACCTCTAGACCATTGAGCTAGCATCAAATGGTTTTAATGTCTGACTTCAGTCAACCAATGATTTTGCGCAACCACTCATCCATAGTTCAAGGTAGATACTTGTCTATACCCGACACAGATTGGACTCCATTAGTCACTGTTCTTACCTTGAAATCTGTGAAATCGTTGTCTTATGTAGATTGAATAGCTTTTGGTACTAATTAATAAACCGTGTTAGGTCAATAAAGGTTATCGGTAGGAGGATTTGAACTTCATCATCTAGGTGCATCTAAAGTCTTGAGGGAACTCATAGTGTTTAAGAATTAGTTATCTAGTTTCACTCGTTATCACAGTCAGTTATGTTATTTATGAAGTGACTTATAAGAAGTAGGAATGCTTTGATAACTATCGATGGTTTCCACAGTTGATATACTGTGTACTAGTGAAAGTATGATTTTCTTGAAAAAGTTACAAATAAGGTTTGGCTAAAGTTATACTTGTCTAATGAGGTAAAATAGCAACTTAATCGACGGAATTCTTTCACCACTAATTACTAGGCGAATATGATACTGGTCACTACTAGTCAGTTACCCATTGACGGAGTTTCAATATGCTTGTAAGCATATTTCTCATGAGATTATTCTTTGATTTGCATAAATTTATGACTAGCTGCAATATGTATTTTTAGTAGTTGTGGTGATAAGCCGAGATCAATCGAGTTCAACCATGTTAGGCTTGAGGCACTTATCCACCGGAGGCAATGAAAAATGATCACCCATCGTTGTGAGTTGGTTTGAATTAGACTTATAAATCACTGGATGTTAACCCTCTAGCTTAAAGGTTTAAGTACTCTCGCGTGACTGGAGTTTCTGGATTCGAACTCCTGTGGTGAGTTTATGGAGGGACATTGCTGAATGGTCCCATACCAGAATGAAACAACTGTCCAGCACTTCTTAACTATTAATGATAGGTTAACTAAGATAAGTTTTTGATGCAAACTAAAAAAATTCTAAAATCTTCCCAAAACCATGGGTTGATAATTTCATAAACCTTTAGTTAAGAAAGTCACTTACTACTGGCTAACTTAAAAATGTAATATTAAAATGGTTTACAAATAAAGCATACAACAATCATGTCAACCTCTCAAAAAAACATCTTTTTCTTATCGAAACTAGTTGGCGATTTATCAGTTCATCTATTTCTTTAGAATTTTTATCCAAAATATTCTCAGTTACCTTCCTTGGTATCTATAAAATAAAATGTGATAAGTCATTTCTTTCAAGAATTCCTATTGACTGAGATAAACTTTGTTGTTTTCATATTCTTTGACCATGTTCGTATTTATAAAGTAAACGAACTGGAGTATTTCTATATAAGCATGAGATCACATCTGACTGATCTTTAAGTAGTGACCAATTTCATGTTTGTTTAGTTATTTAGTGCTGATCGAATTTTATCGAACAAGTTGCAATGTTTTCATTAGTATAAGCAATTCAATATCAAGTTTACTATGTTGAAGTGTCAGATGATTAAAAGAAGTCAGCAGGAAACTCCATATCTAGGTTTCATGATAGTTTGTACTTATAAGCAAGCTAAACCTGTATTCTCGACAAATACAATACTGATGATTGCTAACACGTAAATTAATTGGGTTTTGGGTTTTTTACTGACTACCTTCAATCAATGAACACGATGTTAAATGATATTTATGTAGATAGTTTAAAAAATAATTTAATGACAAATCAGTAATCAATGTCAATATTATTAATAATTTACATATTCTCATTCTTACTGTTAAACTAAAATGTAAGTTTTATTTTCAACCTTATTGTTATGGGACATTAGGCGGCCATACCAAAGCAAGGCACAAATCCACGAAGTCACTGACAAGTGCATTGTACCATATTGATAGATGTAAACTACTTGGTTGAGATCCGCGAGACGATAGTAACCGATGGTTAGAGACCATGAATAATGTATTTCAAAATCATTTGCAATGGCTCAGGTGCATCCACTCTTTATGTTCTCCCAAATTCTAATCTTCCGAATTTTTCATATTACTACTTTTTTCTTTTACTCTTTCCAAATTTATTTCATTGGATTATATTCCTTGAATAACATTTCCAAACCCTAATCTTCCCGATTACTGCTTATAATTTGACTACCTCTATCACTATGGGATTTGAATCGACAATTGTATCTCTGTGCTTAATGTGGTATGGCAACTTGAACGGATGTACGTACGTACAACATTCTATGTTGTTGCTGACTTAGTCATTTGTGTTATGGTTTATTGATTTTTATTCACCGAATTCATTTGTACTCGTATCATATCTCATTATACTTATTATGGAGTTTGTTTATTTGTTTGCTTTTTAGAAAAAAACTATTAAACTTAAACTTTTTCCCAACTCTCATTATTCTGAATATCCATGGGATCAATGAAAAGTAAATTAAATTTTTTCATTCTCATCATTATAAATGACAAATTTTTTGTTTTCTCATGTATTTACAACAAAGTGTCATAAAAGACACTAAGAAGAGAAAATGTATTCACAAAAGTCACATCATCTATCTATCTATTTAACTATCTATCTAACCCTGTTTTATGATATAATCCCAATGAGACAATTCAATTAGAAAAAATGCATAGTTTAATTACTGAGATTTTTCTTTCTTTTTTTGTTTTTTTTTGAAACCATGTATTCTTTAAATAAAAAAAAGAACATTGATTTATTGAATGGGTTTCCTTTTCTTTTCTCTTTTTGTAAAAAATGCCCTATAGATTTGTTGTCAACAATCAATAAATGAATGGATAAAGAGGAGGTGGGGGGAGGGCGAAATGAAATTTACCAATTTTCTATTATATAAATTATCTGTTCATTATTTCTATATATTTTTTTGCTTACAATAATAAGTAATTGTATATACAATGAAACATTATAGTATGTGAATAATAAGCGAATGTCTGTATATTTTACTTGTGTATAATTAATATATATATACGTATCTGTGATTTATAACCATTTGTTTACTGTAACCAGGGGCAGGGGGGAATAGTGTAAGATTAAGAAGAGAAGAGTTTAGTCTTAATATCTTGGATTGTTTGCTTTTGAATTATAATATTCATATACATTTAATCTGTAAACAATCACATAAAAAAAATGGAAATTACCATTCAGGCGAAGAAAGAAAGAAAGTGGTGTTGTCAACATTCTAATGAATATCTACATACACACAATAATAAGTTTTGCTCATTATTAATCTTAAAAATTTTTCCCAAATTGAATAAGATAAACACAAATAAATAAAACTATACATAATGAATGATTAGTTAACAGTAAAATCTTTCTCTTCTTTTTTTTTACACAGTTGTCATAGTAACTAGTGTTGTATCATCATTTTTACTGGTAGAACAAGAATTTGATAAATTTTTATATGATAATTTTAATTCATTATTATGATCTTGTGAATTTTGTCTTGTAATTGTATTTAATTGTTTACGTTTTCTATCAGCTCTAGCTTTTTCTAATTGTTTTTTACGTTCTGAACGATTCCAATAACGACCAGTTTTCAATTCACTCATAGCATCATCATCAGTTGTAATACCGGATCGTTCTTCAGCTACTCGTTTAGCTCGTTCTTTAAGAATTCGACTTCTAGAGAAGAGAAAATTTCAACATAATTAAGTTTTTGATTATTTTTAGATTATATGATTAGTAGTGGAATCTATTATATAGATGTTGTTCGATGTTTAAGACTTATCAGTTGGAGTGAATTGTATCTCTCAGAATCGCCATTCATATTTAGTCTGAAATAAGTTCTTACTGATCGAAATAGCATTATGGTAGTAATGTAGTTAAGGAGAACACAGGCGAGGACAACTAAATGTATTTAAATACAAAATGACAGAACCATACAGCAAATACTTCATTTACAAAATTTTCATCAACTGTCTCATACTTCATTGTTTCTTCATTTCTCTATCAATCACTCTCTGTTCTCGCTTTTTTCAATTTAATCTTTTCAACCTTCTGTCACCAGGTATTCCATTTTCGTCTAGTAATACATACTACTTATACCTTTCGACATCAGTAGCACACGCTATAGTAAATTTAGGTATCTATGATCTTGTTTTGTCGGTGTAATATTTGCATTACCAGTGAGAGTTAATCATATCTTGTTGTTAATATTTAGGACCACAATTAATTAGTCTTTGTTGTTGTATGTGAATCCTGATTGTATTGTATCAGTACAGTCTCCAGTCACTAGTTTTTTTAAATACATATCAAAATATGCTGAAATTCGATATCATGGTAAACAAAATAAACATCTTAGTTATTCTATCCATTCAATTCAGTTTTAACAGAAACTTTTTTTTAAGAAAATAGAATCAGGGTTTGATTTGGAATTAAGTACATTGATTTTCAATAGTGATAGTGTAGCGAACAAGAACACGAGTGGGGACAATCTAATGTATTTGACACCAAATGACAGAGCATCTCATTATAATCTGAACCGTATAGTAAATAGTTAATTGGGAAAATATCAATCCATCGTCTCAAACTTGACTGTTCTTTTTGCAAATATCAGTTTATTGTCCATGCATTTTCATATCAATTGCGTTTCGTTTCCGTTCTTTCCTTATCGATCTTATGCTGAAATACATTCTATGCCTGACCACCATTATATACTACTTATGTGGATATAAATGACCCACACCACAATAGTTATATCTGATGGATTATAAAATCATGATATTTAATTCATCATTAAATTATCATCTTAAATTAACAACTTTGCAGAAGTAACTTGAAAAATGTTAAAGACTTTTATAGACAATGAACTGTTGTTACTTTATATTCTATTAAATTTAATAATAGAATAATCAATCAAAAAGTGTGGAATTTAGAGAAGGAATAATAAAGTAATGATGAATGAAATGACATATTTGGATTAAAGTATATTTTATTCAGGAATAGTTTTGTTGTGACTTTATGTCCGGCCTTTTTATCACGGGGTCTATCCACCAATCAAAATATGACTTATACAATCTTCGCACTGTGCCAAAACCAATGACGTTCGACCGGTATGAGAAGCCTAGCGTCCTTATTGGTCCTATGTTCGCCTAGGCCGTCCAGTTGAGTTTAGAACATCAATACCAGCTTACACTATGCGAATCATTTATTTCAGATACCGGGTTTATAAATCAAACAAACAGACCGCAGCGCATCATAAAATAGGAAATAACATTTGTACACAATAAAGCCAAAAAGTGGCTGTGAACGTGAGAGGAAGTAGTCAATAAGCTGAACATAGCTTAAGAACAGTAAATCGTATAATAATAAATTATAGGTGAAAATGAAGCTTATAATAAGAGGAATATAAATATACATAATCTAATCACTGAATAGTTATACCATAAGGATGTATAGATAATATTAGTCCACTAATATGTCTCAGAAGTTACTCGTGATTTAATCTTCGCTAGAATATAACAAGTTTAGTGTTTGTTTGTTTTGTTTTTTGTGCCTACTTATATATCTGAAGTAATGACTGAATGAGGGATGTTTTACATGACTATCAAACGCTTACATACGAGAAGTGATTTATAAATTATTAAATTGTGCTTAACTTTTACTACCTCAGATGTAAAAGATAATAGCAGCTATTGATAGTAAAGAATCCTTGGATTAGATTCAACATAAAAATATACATCTTTTAGACTTGTATATTCATAGTTATATCATTAGTAATAAAAGTCCAAGGTATATAGTTGTTCAAGTCCAAATGTAGACATTAATACAGTGTAATGAAGGTATACAAACTTGATGCGTCTCAGATTGGACAAAAAGTTATGCTTAAATTGCATCGTTAGTTACAATCTATTAATTCTATTTTACTAATCTCTTATTAGTTTAAGAATTAAAATACTATTAGACATATTCCACGTTATACTGATCCAACTGCATGATTTTATACATAGGATTCAGACAACATCTGATAAGTCAGTTTTAAAAGAGCCAAAGTTAGTGTCTTTGGTTAACTGTCTGGCAGTTCTATTGATTTTAATAATTTGAAAGAAGTAATCCTCTTATGTTTACATTTCAAATACATTAAAGAATAGGGAAGAGTTCCAGTGCCAAATAACTTTTTGTGGCCCTATATCTGACTCCAATTAGATCGTTTCTGATTGCTATCATATAATTGTTGTCAAAATATACATCCTGACTATTCTCCTACATTTTTTATCATCGACTTAACGAATAATGGAATTAAATAAGTCATATACGAAAATGGATGTTTGAATATATATATATATATTGTACACTCGTTGATCTAGAAAGACAACCAGAGGGACGAAGTGACGGAAGCAAAGAAAAAAGATCAAAGCAAGATGGCTTGCATTGGAGGAGGCGTTTGAGCCAACTCCATTTAATCAAGCGTTAATCAGCATTGTCATAAATAAGCTACAGACATGTGATGAATAGAATAAGAAGTGTACATACATACACTCATATAAAAACGGTCAGGGTTGGTAAGTGAACAATTAACAAGATCAAAATGTAAGTTGATAAGAATGGATAAATTTGGTTTGCGCAGAAGCCAGAGTATGTTATGTGGGTTTAACATAGTAATCGACACTACAAATTTTTAAAAAAACGAGCTTTATACACATATTTGAACAAATAGTTTAGCAGAAATTGAACGCTGAGTATTTAGAAGACATCATTTGTAGAAAAAAATCACATTTAACTTAATCTCAGGGATTGATATTTAACTAATTTCCACCTTTCGTACAAAATTAGCCTCGATAACTTTAATTCTCATCATTACTCTGAAGAAGTCTGGATAAGTTTTTTGGACGAAACATTGCAATCGATGAGATTATTTCAAATATGATTTTCACAAATAAACTTTTCTATTATCATACCAAACTTTGTATTGTGCATACAATGTCAGTTAATAATCTGTAAAAGATTTTCGTTTCATGCTGAAACTAGATTAGATCTTCTATAATAAAAAACATTATTATTATTATTATTAAACAAGCTGGATGGAGAGTGCTGGTGGGCGGCCTTTGCTCCTTCACTAGAAGTAACAGGCGTAAGTAAAATGTAAATGTAAAAGTATTAAATAAGCACAAAATATAAAGTGAATAACTAAATTTCAAATAACACAGAATGTACAATAGATTGTTTTCTTTAAAAGAGCAAAACAAATTTGATTTATGGTTGAAATTCGTGTGTTTTGTTAAAAAGTGTTGATGATTTATCTTATATATTTTCATCTATTTATCTCTCCTTTATTCTTTCTCTTCCTTAAGGACAACACAAAGAAGTTATTATTATTATTATTATTATTATTATTACTTATCCTTGATCCGAATGTCAAATTGCCGCTATTATCTGTTGTCTACATTTACTTATTGAGTCAAGCTAGTTTGTGTAGAGAATTAGAGATAAACAAATTAGGAAATAAAGAGAATATATGAGTAATTGACTGTTTCTTATATTACTTTTGTAATATTATCAATGTTCAAATAGTTTTCCTATTTGAGAAAAATAGACAGTCATTTAGAATAAACTTAGCTTATTTGATTGTATAGTGAATATTCACTCATAGTGAACAATAGTACATTATCATATTGTAACTTGGAAATCATTATAAGATTTGTTACACAAAAACTATGTACGAAAGCATTTTGTGAATAAGGGTCTGAGTATTCAGACCGAAAAGGATAATATCCAAATAAGTTATATTTCATTAACTGATAGTCGTTTATGTGAATTCGTTGATTCGAATTATTATCCCCAAAACTATTTGTAATTGTTGAAGTGCTAAGAAGACTGAGGAGAAACCACTGAAATTAATGTGACTCATTATCTTGTGTACTTTGTTGATATGTTAGCTGACTGAAGTTGATAGGTACCAAACTCTGACATAGGTTTCGTGCTTACTGATAACGTTGGTGGTTTCTTGTCTTACTGGGTGACTATGGTTCGAATTCCACATCGAGCATTAGTTCCATCAAAAGTGCGAATACACCTTGCTGATAAGCGTTAACTAGTATGAAACTAAGATCCAAGTTTTTATGCTGACTACTTCTAACCATTCAATATATAAGCCTAGTACAAATGAAGTCGATTCACTTAAACCATTCGGCGAATTTCAATCTGTAAGAGGTGTTCTATGTCTTAAGAAAAGGCGATGAAATGAGCTAATATCTATATAGGACCTTGGATAAAAGTCAACAAATGACTTGACACTTAAAAAAGTATTGACTTAGTATTAATTCAGAATCTTTGTGGCAAAATGTTTTCCAGCACATTTTTTTATGAAACTGTTACAGTGTTATTTGAGAGCAAGTCAGATTAAAATGAGATTGTTTGTATAATATAATAACATATTATCTTACTACAAACCGTTGTTCTTTGGGTACTTTTCATATGAATCCATATTGATTTCATTATGTAATTAGTCAGTTAGATAGTCATAAGTAAAGTAGAATCTGGCATATATGTTCGCCTGTTCAAGATACCCAAACATATCATTATATAGAGATAGAGTAATCAAGGCAAATACCATAATAAGAGTAGTAGTAACAGTATCAGAGGTAGTAAGACATATTAGGGATGTAGGACATTATTCAAGCAAGAAAAATGAATTCATAGAATATAAAATTATAATACACTTTAAAAAACTCAGGATCTATGGCAATGCAAAATATGAATGAATCTGTGCCATTGTTATTGATTATGAGGCTCTACTAAAATAATTAACTATTGATCTAGGCTAGTTTACTCATACTAACATGGGTTACTCTAACAGTCAGTAACTTTTGAATTGATTCAGTGAACTGGGTGAGCCACCTCCAGTTTTTTACAGGCCACTCACATACCAAATAATCGATTGTGAATATATTTATAAATGCATATATGTGTGTGAGTACTCACCTTATTGGTCGTCGGGTTATATAACGTGTTCCATCTGGACGTTTTTTAACTACCCATTCCATCATATTCCAATTATCCATTTGATAAACTTGTCCAGATAGAGGCATGCCAGTAGCTGTAATAGTAGATGTGGCAGCAGTAGAAGATGAGGAAGAAACAGCACCAGTAATGACAGAAGCGTTGACAGCAGTATTTTGATATTGTTTAGAATGACATGTTGCTGATGTGTACACTGGATGAGGATAAACTAGAGGATTATTAGTGATACAGTCTAAATAGCCTATGGAAGATAAATATGGATTGAATAATCTGGGGTGTGATGAATTTTCTGTTTTCATTTTAATCAATTCAGCATGGTCAGCAATACATTGGGTATAGGATGAATTATTATTATTATTAATTGGAACAGATGACCGATAATTGGGCCTAGGTAAGAGATTAGAACAATCTTCTGTTCTATTCATAGATAGTCCAGGAATAGAATGACATGGATCTGTTGATATACCTTTCATTGGATATTGATCACCGATTGGTTCATCGTGTATCGTTACAGACGCATATGGTGTTTCGTAAATATCTGAAAGAATCGGTTCTTCATTCTAAAAACAGTGAATGCAATTAATAAATCACAAAAATATAGGTTATGTAAAAGAACATTATTAATCTGTACAAACAACTACTAGAATTGTCTTCTGTCCCACTGAAGACTACATAGGAGCCTATGGATTTTCAAAAGAATTCCAGTCAATAGTCAACAACAATTGATTAGATTAAGAGATACTCACACTCATACACGTTAGTGTAACGTTTTGAGATAATTATCAAGTTTAACACATATTCATGATCTTATCATTGGATTTAGTTTAATTGACATGTGACTAATCTGTGTTAATATTAGCACTAATCATTTGGTTACATTCGTTTAACTTACCTGTTGTACGTAGGGAGCAATTGTAAATATCATGTTAACCTAATTTTTAATTCTGATAAAATTCAATCGATAAAGATACAATATAGCCATCTGTATAGAATTCTATCAGCTTTAAAGACTATATAAATGTGACTGACTGTTTTTAAGCGCCTAACGTAGATTCGATTACTTAGTTGTTAGCCATGCTTTAAGTGTAAAAATTATTAATACTATCCAAAGAGTTGCGCCTTAATAATAACACTTGACTCATACTTGCTAATATGGGTTAGAATCTAGTGGATTCAGAATTCTGTACTAAGTATCTTCAACCGACAGATAAAGAAAGATTACAGGCGAATTCGAAAATACATAGCTAAGAATAATGATGTTGCAGGGCCAGTGAAATGTCACTAAACCATAGCCAAACCATCCGGCAGTTGGGTCACTGAATATCAATCAGACCATCGATCCCTGCCAAGACCAAGGGTGGCCAACGTACATCAGTTAATTGTACGCCATGGACTGGCCCATGAGTTGGTGGTCGCATTTTTGCTTGTACTTATTCTTACTAATATATTCCCGTAATAACATCCTTTGTGTTGTATGGTCATTAACACTGTCATAGTACTTTGATATGTCGAAGGGGTAATTCACGTTTGATGCTGACCACGAGATATGAATTCGAAGTTATCTGTTGGTCACACCATGCCCGTCTAACTTGAGTAGGCCCCCAGTCATTCAACAGAGATCATCAACATTGATGATCGACAATGTACATTAAGAATTTATCTTAAAGAATGTTTAAATAACTGTTGAAATTACAGTAATATGAAAATTTGTAGTACGCAAGTATTTTCAGTAGAATTAACTGAATCCAAATCATTGTTTTCATACTTTTTACTTAAGTGAGCTTTGTTAAACAATGTATGTGCTCTTTTAATTCACTAGATACTTAAAGAAATATAAGCCGAATAAAGTATCACTTTATCTGGAACATCTTCACAGTGCTTTCTGCTATTCAATAATAGACTAGCTAAGATCAATTATTTATGTAAAGTATCAAAATTCTATAATCTATATAAACCCTTTGTACTAATAAATATATTATTTGTGATTTCCGAAGGAGTGGAAAGTTATATTTCCGATGTTTCACGATCTAATGTATGCTACTTAAATAAATGCCATTAAATCAGCACAAGTTTAAATAGTACAAAGGAAACAATACAAAATAATTTTCGTAAAGTGAAAGTCATAATAGATCTGAATATATCATGATTACAGTACCAATCAAAGATGTTTCCTTAGAATTGTGATTTAAAGCATAGTTACTTTGGAAAATCATTAAATCGTAGGATATGTATCATATTATCTTTTTATTTTGGCTTATCTTCTTCTGAATTAATGATCTTCGTTGATCTTCTGAAAAGATTCAGGGCTAGGGAAATTTTTGCACGGAATGAATGTTCAGAGTTAAAATCAATATACTGATTTGAATGTGTTGGTTTTCGGTATATGGTTAGAATTGTCAATGGATTTGAAAATGGAATCAGCAACGGACTTCCATTGCAATTTTTTTTAAACAAACAGTCTAAGAATGATAGTTTACTATGTTCATCCTCCTTTTCAAATGTGCTCTCAAGGGACTGGCTTCAAAATTCAACTTTTGTAGTCGTAGAAAAAAGTCATGATTAATGAGGTCCAACCATACCGGACTTAAACATTTATTTATCTCAGGATGTCGTGCAATATCGTGAGTCGGTTAAACTGAATGATAGATCAGTGATCTATAAGTTAAGAGTTTTCACGCGTTACTGAAGGGTATGTGCTCTAATTTCAGTAAAAGGACCATGGATGCACATCACAGAGGAATCTCATATTAGAACTAAATAGTTGTGGTCTAGTTCATAAACTGAACTCTAATGAATTAAGACTACTCAGACACAAGTGTATATATGTATTGTAGTAGGATCTATGGATTTCTATGATCATAATTAACGGAATAGAATTATCGTCATGCATAGATACCAACAACAAAAATCTATGATGTAATCATTTCATATCAGATAGATCTATGATATTATCATCAAATTCTAGTTTATTATACAGATACAAAGGGAATTTTCTCTGATTGATATATGATATCAGAATGGGTTTTGTGGAGATTTTTAGAAATTTCACAGGTTGAAATCATGAGTCAGTTGAAGCTAGACCACCATGGAAAACCTGGAAGCACTGGACGGCCGTTTCGTCCTAGTATGGGACTCCTCAGCAGTGCGCATGATAATCAATTGGTGTGGTTACCTTTGTTAAATGATATATTTTTGTTAACAATCAATGTTATTATTGTATTACTCTGTATTCGTAATAATAATAATTTAACAAACAACCTTTTACCGATATTTTTCTCAGACAGTCATGCGTGTTATTTTTGTATTCAAGTAACTACTATATATTTTGTAATGAATGATTTGATTTCTTCTAAAATAACCATCTATATATATATATATATATATATATATATATATATATATATGTATATATGCATAGGAACAAGTGAACAAATATGTATTGAACATTGAACACTTGTTTTTTTTGTGCCCAAAATCTCGTGTCTACCATTTAAACTAAAATGTATATGAAGATAAATGATGAAGGAGTATGATTCAAAGTTCTTTGTTTTACTTTTTTTCTTATGATAATAAAATGTCAAGTTTGTAAATTATTATTATTATTATTATTGCTTATTCTCTAATAGTCATCTTCTAATCCCTCTATCTATTTTTTTTTCTTCAAAATGTCTAAAGAAAAATTCAGTAGTTCAATGTTTAGAAATTCATAAACTATAAAAGTTATTAGCAAAGATGGATGGTGAATAGCATTGGGAACTAGGACAAGCGTTTCGTCCTATTTGGGACTCGTCAGCTGGACGAGTGGATGTATCTGCATTTCAAAGTTGATGTTAACACTGGGAATTGAACCCAGTACCATTCGTTTCAAACGACATCACATTATCCACTTAGTTACTGAGTTCTGATTGACAGTTGCCTGTGAAACGGGATGAAGTTTTAAATTCGCTTTTTTTGTTTACTTGGATCTTCCAGCTGACGAGTCTAAAATAGGGCGAAACACGCATCTTGTATTCCACTGCTAGCTACTATCTATCTTTGTTTATAAAGCTTGTGATCTAAGGCAATATCGAAGCAATCCACATAGGACGTACATATACCAATAAGAGACTGATCAATTGCAGTCCTAATTATCAAATGGGAAGATACAAATAAACAACACTAAGTGACTCCTCAGCAGTGCGGGATCGTGGATGCGCACTGCTAAGGAGTCCCATACTAGGACGAAACGGCCGTCCAGTGCTTCCAGGTTTTCAATGGTGGTCTAGCTTCAACTGACTCATGATTTCAACCTGTGAAATTTCTAAAACTCTCCACTAAACCCATTCTGATAACACCAAGTGAATTTATAAAAAACTTATTTTTGAAATAAAATTGGATGTATTCAATCTTTTAGCAATGATTTTAGTTTTAATTTTAACTAGTCAATGAAATGAGAGATTATTACTTTTGTCATTTATTCTTAATATCATAACATGAATTACAGTTAAACAATGTAAATCACTGAACATTACGTTAATGATTTAAAGTTTAAACGTTTACTTTAAGATCAAAGGTTTTCGGTTCAATTTCCTGTGGAAAGATCATGGATAAGTACCTCCAAAGAGTTTCATACGATGATCAAGCAATTATTCAATGATTCACGGTTTTAACTAAGATCAATTACTGTATTAAACTATAACGTTCAAATAACTATGGTTATGTTTATAAGGGGATATAACTGTGTCTAGAAGTTAAATGAAAAAGATCATGTGGTACTTGTTGTATATATATATATATATATATATATATATATATATATATATATATATATATATATATATATATATACTAGTGACTAACTTCGACAGGAAATTTCTACAGTTCTAGTCAGAAGTCGTGACCATTAGAGCTAACCTGTGTTGAGTGTGAAACTGATACCCATCGAAGTCAATAAAAGATGGCTAGTCAAATCGCGAATTGATTAAATTTAGATATTAACACCGTTAGATGTCGGTTTAGTGGTCCAATGTTTAGATGTTCACGAGTAATATCGAATGTTTTCGGTTCGATTCCTGGGTACAAGATCATGAATGAGCACTGTTAAGAAGTCTCATACTAAAACAAGACAACCATATAGTGTTTCCAGATATGAAATCATAGTCTAACTTAGACCGGTTCATCATTTCAACAAATATATTTATATGTTTTGGAAAATTCTTTACGACTTGAAAAATTCAGTACAAACTTTTCTAAATATCATATTAATCCTCTAGAGTTCGAACTCCACTTGAAATATTAATTCACCACAAAATTTGCTATCATCATTCAAAGAAAATGGCTTCAAAGCTTGTTGATTGCCTTCAACCATCAACACACAAATAATAATAATAATAATATGATTTCCATACAGAACATGTATTATTGGACAACTATGTAGAAGTTGACCAAAAGAATATATATATATGTATATAAGCGATGCTGATCATAATAAATGCGTGTAAGTTAAGACATTTTTAAAAAAGTCTCTGGATGACTGTCAATTCTGTGAAATAAATCTCTCAATATCTATCATTGCTTACAAAAATCTTGTGAATCAAGGCACTATCGAGGCATACGCACAGTATGCACATATGCCGATAACAGACTGATCAATTGCAGTCTTAAACCTCAATGGGAAGATACAAGCCAAATTATACCAAGTGAATGGAATAAATTATTGAAAAATTCTAAATGAAAAAAAATTGTATCATTCCGTAAAAATAAAATTACTTTTATTGACTTAGCCAATGTTTTGAAATTTTCGATGGAGTTTTGTTCTGTAAACTGGATGGTTTGGTCATGGAGCTTTTATTGTTCTTCTGAATGACATTATATATATACCTGAAGTTTGTGTTGATGTGTGTCGTTCAAAAGAACGATTAAAGCTCCACGATCAAACCAGCCAGCTCAGAGAATAAAACTTCATCAAAATCATCCAGCTGAGCTATAAATCTTTTTCACCATTGAAATTTTCAAGATGACTATCATTTCTCTTTGTCAATTTTACATAAAATATAGTTGACCTTTGACAAATTAGTATAATGTTGGCAATAATAATAATACAGTAGTACTGGTAATGTAAAATACATTATCATATTACCCTTTTTATTTCATACTTCCCACTAATATTTTGGAATACTATGTCAAATCTCATTAAATTATTTTAAAATATTCTATGTGAGTCATATATTGTTTTTCTTTGTTGACGTTGGTGTTTTGTCACTGATAGTTTCTATTCTTTTACTTCTTACTGGTATCTACCTGTATTAACAGTTAAATGTATATGTGTTAGAGTGTATGATGTATATCAGCAAGCAAAACTAGTGTATACATGTACACAATGTCTACATTCATGTATACATAAGTATGAATATATAGTTGACAAGTGATTTATACTGTATCTTAGTATCATCAAATTTATTCCTTTGTCTACGGTTGAAAAATTGGGAACAATTAAATAAGTGAGAAGAATGAAGAAAATAGAAAAGAGTAACAGTTACACTTTGTCTATTCTCTCTGGTTTTTTCTTCCACTTCTTCTTCATCATCATCTTCATTAGTTGGCTTCGTTTTTGTTTGATTTATTTGTAATTTTGCTCATGTCGCACTGCATGATAAGCATTTAGATAAAAGTTGTATATATATACACATATACACGTGTTGCCTAATTACTTCTATGTTCTTTGACGAATAATTCATACTGTACATACATAAATATTTTGTAATTAATTATTACATTTTACAAGTTTTCTATGATTTTCAAAAGTTAAGATAATGAGTCAATTGAAGCTAGACCACCATTGAAAACCTGGAAGCACTGGACGGCTGTTTCGTCCCATTGTGGGACTCCTCAGCAGTGAGCATCCACGATCCCACACCCCGCGAAATTCGAACCCAGGACCTATCAGTTTCACGCCAGGCGCTTAACCAGCTAGATCACTGAGCCGGCATCCAACGGTGTTAATGTCTAATTTCAACTAATCCACGAAATTGAGCGACACATCTAGTTGCTTAAGCGCCTGGCGCGAGACTGATAGGTCCTGGGTTCTAGTTCCGCGAGGCGAGATCGTGGATGTGCACTGCTGGGGAATCCCACAACAGGACGAAACGGCCGTCTAGCTTCATTTGACTCATGATCTCAACTGTTGAAATTACTACAATCTCCACAAAACCCCTTCTGTTTCTACGATATTCTCTAGACGATGATGATGCTAATGATGATCAATTTTGACAATTTTGTTAAACCGCACTGATTACAACAGGAACTGATATCTTAAAAAATATTATACTTTCATTTTAACATAAATTATGGAGTGAATATTTTGTTTAATATTCTACATTACGTTATATAATTTCCTGTTAGTAGCAGTAGTATTATTAATATTAGTATCATTAATACTAATAATAGTTTTGGTATTAGTAGTATTATTAGTTGTTGCATGGTTTTTTTATACATTTTTTCTTGCACAATTAACTATGAGTAGTTAAGATTAAGCGAAATTATTTCAGTTATTATATACTTCACATCATAAAATGATCTTAATTAATCAATCATTGAAAACTAGGAAGTATTATAGTGCTATTTTGTTCCAGAATAGAGCTTTTCAGCAGTACATATCCATGATTTCACCAGTGATTATACCCAGTACATTCAAGTTGTTTAATAAGAACTTAACCTTTAAACCACTCAACTAGCGTCTAATATTGGACCCCCCAGCAATAAGCATCCATAATCCCACTTGCAGGAATTAGATCTTGGACTTTCGCTTTCATATACATGCACTGCTGAGGAGTCCTATATTCAAAAGAAACGGCCGTCGAATGCTCCTAGGTTTTCAATGTTGGTCTAGCACTGATTGGTTCAGGATTTTGTTAAAATTCAACAATCTTCAGATCACTATACTTCCAGCATCAAACGGTTTAAAATCGAGTAAAATGGATAATTGATAATATGCCTTTAGGTCGTAGGTAATATTACCAAGTTTTGCCTTGATAATGTAGGTCATTATAATAATTTTGAAATACTGGTCTATATTAAGTAGTTGTCATCAAAAACAACTCATATGATTTCAACAGAAAATCAGAGGTTTAAATATCTTAGAGATATTATCAGTTAAATGCAAACTTGAGAACATAAACCATAATAAATGTTCATTAATTTTACGATTTGTGTTTTTTACTACGTAACTCAAACAGTCTATAAACATATCTGCTTCATTTCAATGACGAATAACACTTTACAAAACACTAGACACTGGAGGCTGAAGGGTTAGTTAGATTCTCTCGAGAAACCGTGCTTGAAGTAGTTACTCATCAGTAAAATAGGATGAATATAAATTTCAAGTGGAGTCTAGTTGATACTATCTTTGGATGGATTATGTTTGACCTCGGTACTTGATGATTTTTGATTGTTCATGTGTACATTGATTAAGAATTTCAAATCTTAACAAAACAATTCATAATGAATATTACTTCAAGATTTATGTTATACAGTTTACTTGAAAATACAAGCCATAATGTTATGGTTTAGTTAACGAAGTTCGTTTCACTTTCACTAATAATATAAGAGAAAGAAATAACAGAACCAACCAACCTGATAATGTCTCAATCTACTCGGTCCCACCAACTCTAAGAATTTAACAAGGGAGTCACGATAAAATGACTGATTCTAGTTGTATAGATCTTACGTTCATGGCACAACGTCATTTAATAAATTGATTAGCCGCCTATATTTCCATAAAGTCTCGACATCGCTAACTAGTTCATAGTGGTGAAGTAACTAAAATAACATTCATATAAATCATAATGATATACACTCGCCAATAAAGCTAGAGTTTCAAAATGATAATAATAAATAAATAGTTCAATGGACTCATGAATTCGACTACTAAAATTACTATAATATTCACTATAATATTCTCTGATTATAATCATCATATGCTCAATAATGATGGTCTCCAACAAGTATTTCTTGGAGTTCTAGTGAGAAGCCATGACAAGTGGAATTCAACCGAGTCTGTTTTGAGATGGACGTTGATGCAATTTTGTGGACTGGTTGAATTTAGACCTTAACACCATTGAATGCCACTTAGCTCAATGGTCTAGAGATTAAGCGTTCATGCGCGAGATCAATAGGTCTTGGATTCGAATCTCACAAGGTATGAGATCATGAATGTACACTTCTGAAGAATTCCACATTAGGACAAAAATAACTATTCAGTACTTCCAGATTTTTCTTAATAATCTAACTTCAATTAAATCATAAATTCAATTACTAAAATAAATAATTGTCATTACATCTATAACAGAATAACATTAAATTAAATCAACTTACTGTTATATTTGTTTTATTCATATTCATTAATTCATTCAATGGTTGAACCATTGTTGCTGTTGTTGTTGTTGCTGCTGTTGTTGATTGAACTGTTAATTGTTTTTGTTTATTTGTATTTAATATTGTTTTATTTGTTAATGAACAACAAAAATTATCATAGAATTCATATGAATGTAATTTATTATTTGAAATATTCATTGATGGTATTGGCTTAGTGATTGTCATTGTTGTCACTACACTATTATTATTATTATTACCATTACTATTACTATTATTGCTATTATTACTATTATTATTATTATGATTTGCTAATTGTTCATTTAATGTAGTTGTCATACATTTCCTTGGTGATATATATTTGATTGGATAATAATATTCATTATAATATATTGGTAAAGGATATAATGGATTAAAGTGTAATTGTTTATTTCTATATTGATTCATTAATAAAGATGATTTTTCTGAATTGATTAAAATAAAGAAAAGAAAAAAGAAAAAGAAAATAATCATAATGTACAATTATAAATCATTTTGATTGCTATATTAAATTTGATTGAAAAAAGATGTTCAATAATCAATATTGATTTAAAATTGATTTTTGTATTGATTGTTTAGATCTTCCCATTGTTTACTTGTATTTTCCAGCTGAATAGGACTTGAATAGGACGAAACGTCCATCCTGGATTCCATTGCTAGCCGCTATACATCTTTGCTTAGAATGCTTATGAATTAAGGTAATTTTGAGGCAGTCCGCATAGGATGCATATATACTAAAAAGAGACTGATCAATTGCAATCCGAATCATCAAATGGGAAGATACAAGTAAACAATATCAAGTGCATTTAAAACTTCATCCCATTGCACAAGCAAGTGACTATCAGGATTCAGTAGCTAAGTGAATAATGCGATGGTGTTTGAAGTGAATGGTACTGGGTTCAAGTTGCAGAGTGAACATCAACTCCGAGATGAAGGTACATCTAGCTGAGGAGTCCCGAGTAGGATGAAGTGTACATGTTGGATTCCACTGTTAGGCATTATCCATCTTCTCATTGATGTTTAGGACTGAAATTGATTAGTTTCTTATTGATACATGTGCATTCTGTGTGAATTGCCTTGATATTGGCTTAAATGACATGAATTCTAAGTAAATATGGATAGCGGCTACCAATGGAATTCAGGAAAATCAACTTTCGTATGTAGATACATCTAGCTGACGAGTTCCAAATAGGATAAAACGCATGTCCAGGATTCCCCTGTTAGCCACCATCCACCTTTGCTTATAATCAATATAATATAGCAATTATCCTACAACCACTTTCGATTATGATTAGTTTTGGTTAAACCCTTTTATTAACTTAAATTACTAACAATCTTATTCTAACGGTAACAGTTCTCGTATTTCCCTGTACTATAATGATCACTATTATATCTGTATAAACGCGTACGCTTGATCATATGACAGACTTTAGCTTAAATGTTGATAGCCTAAATATCGCTCGATGAATCAATATCTTCCTCATGTATAATATGTATGCAACTCCTATTATTAGTCTTCGCCTTGCCTAGCTGTGTCATTATTGGATCTGACTATAAATTTGCGTCTGTACATGTTGCCGTACACACAAATTCGCTCGATATGCTTATAGCTTTGTTACCTATGCTATCCGCTCATAAACTGTAGTCGCCGCTTCTTATTGCACTCTGATTTCAAACAGTGGGATTTATATAATACGGTTACAAAGGTGATTGATTAACGAAGCAAAGCCACTACAATGGTTGCATCAACTAAATTGGATTTTAATGATCTTTTCTATGATTAATTATCAGAATGGAAATTTGATTTCCTTTTATTGATATAGTGATTATTTGAGTAGATATGTCATAAAATTTACTTGTACATATAATACACGAATTATTTTATTATGTGGATTAGGACTAGTCAGTTTAATCTATACCGGTTATGTCAAGATATCAACTTAAAGAATTCTTTCTTATGACCATAGACATTGATCAAAATAAGTTATGAATGTTAACAATAGAGAACAAAAGAATCTAAATTCGTAAAAGTATTCAAATATCATACATCTTAAACAAGTTGGTTACTATTATGACTCAACTGAGATAGTAACATTGAGATGCTGAGGGATTTAGCTAACAATACGATCCAAACGTATCAAGTTGAAATGACAAATTTCATATTCATGACTTAATGTCTGTTCCTTCTGTTGTATCCCGATGAGAATAATGAATGGTAACTTTTGGAATCCATTTATGAACTATTACTATGCGTATATTTTTATCGTATAATTGTTAAATGACTAAACTATTCATATTCGTGTTTCTCTTAGCATAAGCTTTATTTTGACCTATGAACCATTATTATACGATTTACCATTCTTGATTTATGCTCTGTCTATCAATTACTATCTCCCACATTCACAGCCACATTTGGCTAAATCTTTTACAAATGTTGTTTCCTGTTTTATGGTAAGATATTGTCTGTCTGGTTGGTATATAAACCCCGTATGTTTGAAATACATGATTCATATCGTGTAGGCTGAGATTGGTGTTCTGGACTTAACAAGCAGGACCAGGTGGGAAGCATGACCGATAAAGACTCTAGACTGCTCATACTTGTTTTATGCATCATTTGGTCTGCTCGATAAATCACTGTTCTTTAATTGGCGGTATCATAACGTTATACATTAATAGGACAATAGTAATCTCTTTATTTAATTAACTAATGATCTTATCATTTACAATATTTTCTGTTAAGATTTGAGACAGTGTTCATTGAGTAAATGATCAATCTGGCTAACATAATCCTACCAGATTTTGTTGCATAAATTGGATTGTCAAAACGACAAGTATCTTTTCAAAACAAGAATATGACTATCAATGCCATGAATGAACTTGATAGTTCCAAAAAAATTGAGCATAGCACGGAACGTTAATTGTAAATATATTTTTTGTTACATCTCAATCAATAGAAAATTGTATTTCTGAAGTTTCGTGACGTGTTGTAATCTACTTCTTCAGAGTAAATAAATAAGCAATATTGGTTAGGGTCACACAACTTCAGAAATAAAGTTCTCCTTTCATTGGGATATAATAAAAAATGTATTTTTTATTCAACTGTGATAATGTTTGAATTATATGTATAATGTTGAAATCATGAGCCGATCTAGGTTAGACTACAGGTAAAAAACTGGAAGCACCGTTTCGTCCCAGTAAGGGCCTCTTCAACAGTGCGAATCTACCACTCTGGAGGCGGGAATCGAACCCACGGCCTTAAGTTTTATTCGTGAACACCTAAACTTCAGATCACTAAACCGGTAGCCAACGGTGTTAATATATAAATCCATTCAATCCATGATTTGACCAGCCATCTTCGATTCGCTTCAATGAGCATCAGTCTCACACCCAATATAGATTAGCTCCAATGGTCACGACTTGTCACTAGATGTGTAAATCGTTTTATTGAAAGCAATCTAACTCAGTATGAATTTTTCAGGTTAGCCATATTTGTCTTAGTTTGGTTTCTGGTTTGAATAGAATATGGATTTTATTTATTTATCGTTTAAGAAAATTCTTAGTAAAAGCTTACCATGAGGTAATAAAAAAGTTGTTTCTTTTTCATAAGTGAAAATCATCTGAATTATCTCTTTCTAATGATAATGTAAGCGAGTCATTAGCTTAACGGATAATACATAGGTATTTAAAGTGAAATGTTTTATGTTCAATACACAATATGTACATCAACAGTAGGTTATATGTTTATACAATTGATGAGTTAAAACGGATTATTTGAATTCCTTTTTTTAAACTTCCAATCCATCTATTCTATTTAAGGGTTTATTATGAGATATGTAAGATGAAAAAAAATAAGGTAGACGTTTCTGAAACTTGACCATCTCAAATTTATACTATTGAATATCATAAGTAGTTGGTCATCATTTACGCTAATTTGCAAGTTTCATTAGTTATAACTAAATAATCAAATACTATTCAATGTATTAAAGGAATCATCTTTGTTTATAGAAATTTTGTGTTTAATGAACTTAATAATCGATCAGTCAATTAATAAGTTACAAGTGTGAAACAAGGATAATGGACTTTGGACAGACAGGTATTATCATAAGTAAATAAAGTGTGACACATAGCTGGATACGTAAATGTGTACTTGATAGCTGATATCCAAGCCATGCGATCCCCACTTAATCAGTTAGCAATTAGTGTCCATAGGTATGATATGTTCGTTACACCTTTGAAGTGCAAAGTACTTTTACAAGACTGACAGGACCCTGATCCTGCATTCACCCTGGATTATGAGCAGAGAGAAGTAGTCGAGAAGTTCGTGTATCTAGGTGCTGGTGATGCTGTGGGTGATGGGACCAATTCACGCACAGTGAAAGCCAGAGCGGCTTATGGTAATCTGAGAAATCTTTGGCGCCTTCATGATGTCAGTCTGGCCGTAAAAGGTCGGATCTACAACGTGGCGGTGAGAGCAGTTTTGCTCTATGCTTGTGAATCCTAGCCTCTCCGAATTGAAGTTTGTATTTGACCATCGTTGTCTCCGAAGGATCGCTGACACCCAGTGGCAACACCATGTTAGTAATGCAGAAGTTCAGCATCGTGTGTTCAGGAGCAGTGACGATAATTCACTTGATGTCACTATCTTGAACCATCAACGTCGGTGGATTGGACATGTTCAACGAATATCGTCCCGCAGAATTCCACGTCGTGAATTATTTGCTGACGCTGGGACTGGTTGGAAAAAGAGGAAAGGTGGTCAGTGTATGACATGGTGTCGAGGTATGAAAGAAAGCTGTACAGGACTGTCTTGTGTTGGTCCTTCACAACTCCCTGGTTGGGGTCCTAAAGGTGGTGCAACACAGTGTCTAGAAGCCAGTGGCGATCCCAATGTAAATTTATTTTACTTTTTGCATAAAAAATGGACGCATTTTCTTTAACTGGAAGAATTCTCTGTGGTTGTACAATTCACGCTTCTACTCATTTGGATCATAGAAGTATATTATCATTTCATTACTCAAAGTAATCTACCTCAATAGTCAGTTTATTTGAGATTATCAAATTAAACACTAGTAAAGAAGTCTAAACATATCATATCGATTGTGAGACAGTAACGCACCAATTACATTGGGAGATAGTAGTGTAATACCCGACCGTTGTTGCTACCTTGACGTGATGGTTGGGTTTGCCTAATGTGTTGAAGCGACCGAGCTATACTGGCTGGAACAATCGGGAAGTGATAACCGCCCTCATAACTCTAAGAGCACTCAAGACCACTGTATTCATAATCAACCTCTTTCTTCTGACTGAGTGATGTAATATCACGAATTAGTTGAAGTTAGATCTATAAATTATTAGATATTGACTCAGTGGTTTAGAGACCAAGCTCGAACCGATAGACCTAAAGTTCCTCAATTCAATCCTCTATCGTAGGGTCGGGGATGAAAACTATTAAGAAGTTCTATATCTAGTCTAAAACAACTGTATATTAACCTCTAGTTTTTAATGGATATCTAATCAAACTTAATCCGTGATGGAAACTATAAAATAAGTAATTTCAATGGTTTGGATCATGAGTCAGTTGAAGCTAGACCACTATGGAAAAGCTGGAAGCACTGGACGGCCGTTTCGTCCTATTGTGGGACTGCTCAGCAGTAGGCATCCCCGATCCCACCCTCGCAGCGAGATTCGAACCCAGGACCTATCAGTCTCGCGCGCGAGCGCTTAACCACTAGTCCACTGTGCCGGCACCCCTTCTGATATAAAATAAGTACTGAATTAAATAACACAGTCATATAATGAAATCTAACCTTCTTTTAGAAATTTCTCCGGATTATGTTCAGAAATCAATTTAGAATTAGGTAATTTTTGGTGATGTTGTTGTTGTTGTTGATGATGATGATGATGATGATAAAAATTGGATTTTTGAACTTTTGTATTAGATTTTATAGATACATCTTTTGCAAAATTCACATTACGTTTTTGCTCATTCAGTATACTTGTATTATTGTAATTGGATGAATTATTCACTTCTAAATTATGATTAATATTATTATCTGATGTTGATGGTAATTGTTCATTTGATGATTTATTATTATGATTTCTACCAGAAATTAATGATGATGAAGTTGATGTAGATGGTTCTGGTGAATTGAATTGACGAATTGATGTATAATATGATTCAGTATAATTAATATTTGGATCTGGATGAATATATTGATTATTATTATTATTACTATGAGTAGTATATTGTGAATTCCCATCAATTGACCAATTGGATGATGGACTAAAAGAATCGTTTGGTGTTATATGATGATTAGTATTATTAACTTCACTGGAGTTATATTGATGACGAGTGTGATGACGATGGTGGTGGTAGTGATGTGGATCAGGAATAACTGCAGACAAAGATAACAGGGAACCGCCCAAGTCGGATAATGAGGCAGCTATACCTTCTCCTACACTGTTTCCGTTATAATGTAAACTACTTATAGTTCTTGTAGGGTAATCACTATTAGATAGTGTTGTTACCGGTGGATATTGTGTATTATTATCATTATTATTACCACCAGTAGTAATACAATGGAAACATTGATCAGTAAAACTTCCATTACTTGTAGCGTGATCATTATTATTAATACTATTATTATTGTTAATAATCTCACTGCTATTATTAGCAAAATTATGAGTGTTATTCATTGGTGAATCATTTTGACTTTTTCTACTTTCACTAGTACAATATGCACTTGTATCTCCGCTACCATTTAATCTACTTTGTTCTAAATTATCTGGATAAATTGAATGAGGTTCGATTAATTTAGAATTAGAATCAGGACAATATGTAGTTTGTTGTTGATGTTGAGCCTGTGATTCATGACGTTCAGATGAAACTGGACGATCTACAAATATAACAGAGAAAAATAATCTCTTACATGAGGTGTTGTTTTGTATCAATATTTATATACTCTGATAAGTAAAATGATCAAAGTCCGTTCGATACAGTTTGATCATATATAATCAGGTTTCTTGATCAAGAAACAAGAATAAATAAATATCTTTATGTTGATATCGCAAACCGACATCATTTGGACAATTACTGAAAACTGAGAAGTTTTAGATAGCTGTTTGGTCTTATTCTCAAGAACTCTTTGGCACTACATATTTGTTACCCTAAGACAGGGGGTTCGGACCGAGAAACTCTAAGTTTTGTGTCAAGCTCTCAAACTTCAGAAAAATTAGACAACTTGAGATGACCCTGTTTTTTTTCTTCTGTAGGTAACTGTTTCGTTCCTGTTATTCGATTAATAATTAAGCACATAAATTGAAGCTTGAATTTAAATAAAATCTTCAACCCTAATAGATGGGACTGCCAATATATTATGATAACTAGTATCATAAATGAAATTAAATTTATGCAAGATTTTGGATAAAAGTGACAAGGCGAAGTAAGCATAGATTTTACGTAGATTAAAACTCGTAAATAAAACATATCTGAATTGTTGGACCGAAGAGTGTTTTTCTTGGGATTCAAACATAACTGACCCAATTACTTCAAAAATATACAATCATAGTTTACTTTCTTTAGTAATGAGATACTTTTAATAACTAATTTATCGGTAATGAATATTCATCAAGATTAGAGCGAATAGTTTGACAGAAATTTGGCGCCGACTATATAGAAGTCACTGATTGATTATTATCCTGAAGAAGTCCAGATAAGTAAGCTGGATGAAACGCTGGAATTATTTAAATTTCAATCGCTGAGATTATTCCAAATATAACTTTTTTTATACTCGGCGCCTAATTTCTGTCAAACTATTCATTCTAATCTTGACGAATATTCGTATAAAGTCGTTGAGTATAGTTGACAGAAAACTTTGTTTCATCTAGTTTTTACGCAATTTGGGACTTGTCCGCAAAGTGTATCTGTAATCCTGGTGAGAAGCGACTTCTCTAGGTGGATTCAAACTTACATCACCTCACTTTGCGGTCTGAATCTATCAGAAAACATTAGCTCCCTTAAAATTAAAAGTACACTTTACTAACTTATGTTCAATAGTGTATAATCTAGATTAAACAAAAGCTCTTGGCAACTATCTCTAACCATCTATCGTATATAATAGTTGTTAATTAATAACCAAGCATCCAACAGACTATCAAAACTATTTGAAATTATAGTAGAAAAGTTTTGTTCATCTTCAATTTTATTGATTCGAATCTATTGTAAATCATGAGATGTACATTCAAATAATCCTGGGTTCGAATCTTGCATGGAGCGAGGTCGTGCATGGGCACCTCTGAGGAGTTCCACAACAGGACGAAACGGCCGTCCAGTGTTTCCAGGTTTTTCATAATGGTCTAGCTTCAACTAACTCATGATCTTAACCATTGAAAAAAAACTTGTTTACAAATGACTAATGTAATAGATACTTATTTGTTTCTTTTCGGAGTAAATAAAGCATCATGTTTACAAAACGAAACTTTAATTTCAAGTGAATCTATTTATTTATTTATCCTAAGATACTTCTACATTTAGTGTAAACAAATGAAGAATTTACTTTGAATTTTTTGTGTTTTTTTTGTTTGTTTACAAAGTACACATACACTTTCCTATTATAAACATACATCATGTATAGCATCACTTACTCATTTACTCATTTACTAACTTACAATCAAGCAATGATGACATATACATGTTCAAACAATAAAATGGCGGTAAGAACAGTAGTAATGGGAAGAAGAAGAACAAAAAGAAATCGCCTTATTTTCTAATATATACAACAAGAATGCTAATGATTATGTATGATGATTCATAGAAATCTAAACAAAGATGCTTTGATTTCTTTTCATTAACGGTTATTAATGATAGAGGAATTATTATTACTATTAGTAGTAAAAGTATTCTTACTATTATATAAACGAATATAATTGATTATAAAAGATGAAAACATAGAAGGATATAAAGAACTAATGTATGTATCTATATCTATGTATCTATGTATATATGAATCAAGGTTGAAATGGTCAACGCTAGACATGAACTGTTAAACAGATAGATGTGTATAATCTATTACAATGTCTACTTATTTTCCTTAAAGGTGTAATTTGAAGAATTTATTGTTGGTGTTGTTGTTTTATTTTTCTCTGTATGAATTAACGTTGATTATAAATAAAAGATTTCATTTATAAAATTGTATTCGAATACTTATCAATTCTATATGTTACATGTAACATAAGGTGAAGGTGTTCAGTTTAATCTCACATCAGAGAATGATTGTATTTCTTTGATATATGTATACATATACTGATAATATACGGTCTTAGTAATACATACGTATGTGTTTGTAACATGTGTAGAAGAACAGGTTGTATAGGTATGGAGAGAGAGAGAGAGAGAGTTAAAACTACATTGTTTTCTATGTGTATACACCAGGTGATGTTTAGAATACAGAAATGAATGCAATTCTTAATAGATTTATGATGTATTAAAGCTTATTTTTACGAAATCAAGTACCAAATGAAAAAAAAAGAAAATAATAATGGAATTATTTAATTCAGGTTGTATGATAGAAAATAAATTGGGAAATGTAGCACCACCACAAACACATCATCATCATCATCATCATCATCCTTATCTGTAATATATTTACCATGAATGCAATAGAATAGATACCAGAAGAAAACAACATAATGAATGTTGATGTGAATCAGGCGTCTGTTTTGTGTACAGCAACGCTTTATCTATATCTGTGTGTAGATGTATAACAACCAAAAGTATATTTTAGAAAAGAAAGATACAAGTTACAATCCACCTGTCTAATAATCTTCTCTAGTTATTGAATCATTAATGAATTTCTTGAAAATCTAATAGAAAGTCTTAACTTTTATACTTTAGCTAAATTGAGAGATACTTAACCGTTAAATAATATAACTGTTGTAAATTAGATTATAACATAAAATAATAGAATATGGAAAATGTGAACTATTGAAGTCAATGGATGAACAGATAGTATTGTACTTACTGTGAGATTCCCAATTCCTATTTATAAACTTTTGATTGGATAACAAACTAAGATAAATCATTTAATAGTTAAATTCATGAGTCAATTGAAGCTAGATCACCATGGAAAACCTGATAGCACTGGATGCGCACTGCTGAGGAGTCCCATACTAGGACGAAATGACTGTTCAGTGCTTTCAGGTTTTCCATGGTGGTCTAACTTCAACTGACTCATGAATTCAACTATTAAATTACTAAAATCTTCACAAAACCCCCTTTCTGATAAGTCAGACAATATGCCTTAGTTACAAGTCAATTTATTCTTATGGAATGTTATTTTCATTGATTCACTAATACATTTTACATTTGTCATCTCCTTAATGTTGAGAAATTGTACGTAGTAATATACTTATATTTTAAGCATACAACTAGTTGTTCATATTTTATTCCTTCATGTAATATGTTAACGTTATCACCACTCTTAGTGTTTACAATTACGTATTTGGTTTTCAATTTATTTTAAATTATTAGTTCTGTTATTATTTACAACTTTATCATGCATATTCTGTTTGTATGTTACATAACCTCTTACAATGCTAAGTTGATTGTTTCGCATCCAAATCTCATTACCAGCATCAGTTCTTATAAGAATAAGAATAACCCAAACCAATGGGATATACAACCAAAACAAAGAAGTTAACAATGATATGTTTAACATCAACAAGAACCAATCAACATCGATGTCTACAAGACAAGCTGTGAACCATGTATGGAGAAATTCCAACACTTCACTTCTACCTGAAGTTTATGCTGATGATGTCGTTCAGAAGAACGATGAAAGTTCCACGACCGAATCATCCAGCGTAGAGAACAAAAGTTTATCAAAATAGTTCAAGCTGTTGACTATATCTATTCAGTTTGTCAATTTTAAAATATACTTCAGCTAAACTATCACAATTGATTGATCACTGGGTGATGATCAATGTCATGTGTGTCAAGTCCTTATTTAGTGCAGATCGAATACTACCGACCGTGCTGAGATGTGGCCACTAGTCTAGGTGACTCGATAATGCGTGCACTATATATTTTGAGATCAGATGGTGGTTGGAGGCAGTCGATAGGAAACCCTGGACTCGGGTTTCGTGCTACTTGGCACTCGTCAGCAAGGTGTACCTGTAAAAATGTATATAACATTGCAACATGGTCGATAGCATTCGATTTGCACTAATAAGGACTTGACACACATGACATTGAACACCACCCAGTGATCAATCAATTACATCTCAGTCCTACAGGAGGTCGGTCGCGGCCCGGATAGCTCAGTGGTAACGTCTCTGACTGTGAAGCTGGGCCACACGGGATCAAGTCCGTCGGGAGCACCAGTTCTCTCAAGATTACAGGTACACCTTACTGACGAGTGCCAAGTAGCACGAAACTCGGTTCTAGGGTTTCCTATCGACTACCTCCAACCACCACCTAATCAGCTAAACTATGTTCAACTTCACCCTATACTCTAAATAATAATTCATCTAATCATTAATCTTAATTGAATTTTCCCACATTATTCAATGTTAACCAAGCACAAAATCTACAGATTTCATTTATTACAAGTGTTAAATCAAATCTTATTATCCCTTTCTTCTTCTTCATCATCATCATCACTTATTCAGATAAATCAATTCTATGCTTTGAGAGATACAGATGATTGAAGCTGGTATTAATAGTAATAGTTCAAAAACAGCATACTGTACAAACCAAAGTATACAGTTTCTAATGTAGATCTATGAAAAAAAGATGTTAAAAATATAATATTTCATTCTCTCTCCCCCCCCCCTATTTAAAACACAATTTTTTTTTAAATGATCATTTCACATAGACCATAGTATTCATCTGTCATTATTGAAATGAAAAAGAAACAATACAATATTTCTATTATTTGGTATCAATGTGTATATACAGCTTGTTGATAAGCATTCAATGAAATAAAAAAAGGTTGATAGACATCATGTGTATTTGTCTAGGTTGTCAAAGTAATAAAAAAAATAAATATTCGAATGCATTTCAGTAATATTAATATTAGTTGTCATAGTAATTATAGTAATGGGAAGAGGAAACGAACAATTTCCATTCAGTTTAGATAGTTATTTTAATCGAATTGTTATGGTTATTTATAAGATACGTTTTGTCGTGACCATTATTGTCAGTATTCAAAAGGAAAAAAAGACAAACATTTTGGGTAATGTCTTATAATTAGGACTAATTATTTAAATATTTGTATTGGTTAGTAACTAATAGTGGAATTCAAGATGGAAGTTACGTTTGATCGGGGACTTATTAGTAAGATGTAGCTAGATTTCGGTGTTGATGCTATCATTAATACTTTAACCCTAAACCTATCTATTTAAATGTTTGCATAATATTCATCAAAGTATATGTTGAAGATCGAAAGTTGTAACATGTATTGATTCTTAGTAAGTAGCTATCACTATCCGAAGTAATCGGTATAGAGGGTTTGTACAGTTGAAACTTTTTTGTTTACATTACTAACTGATATTTGTTAAACAACCAATCAAGAACGAAAGATCAGATGTTTCGTCCCGGGATGGAACTCTAAAGTTATCTATAGATATTTAGTCGGATTGAATTCACTTTTTTATATTACAAATCCTCAGTAAAACACTAATATCGTTTTATTTTGATATAAGATGGTGGTTGGAAGTAGTCAACTGGAAACCCTAAACTCGGATTTCGTGCTATTTGACATTCTTCAGCAAGGTGTACCTGTAATCTTGAGGTAATTGATGCTCCCTAACTGATTTGATCCCATGCCATACAGCTGGTCTCGGATAGCTCACTGGTAACATTTCTGACTGTGAAGCTGGGTGACACGGGATTGAATCCGTCAGGGAGCATCAGTCCACTCAAGATAACAAGCACACCTTACTGACGAGTGCCAAGTAGTATAAAATCTAGGTCTAGCGTCTCCTGTTGACTACGTCCAAACACCATCTTATCTCAACATAGTGTACTCAGTGTCGAGTCACCTAGACTAGTGGCCGTATTCCAACTTGGTCGATAGCATTTGATCTGCACTAAGAAGGACCTGACACACATGACCTTGATCGCCACTCAGTGATCAATCAATTCTTTCACTCTAAATCACTCTAGAATAATCTAACGTAAAAATGGTCCATGAATTCACTAAGAAATCACTTTCTAGGCAAAAATAAATCTTGTAAAATCAATGTTTATCATTAAAACAATGAGAAAACTTGTTTAGGGAGATTATTTGAATCACACAGCTAAATAGAATTCAAACTGTAAATTTAACAGTCTATCATTTTAATTACCATTTAAGTTAATTACCTTTTTAAGATTTTTGTGAGATTCAAGATTAAATATTATGGTTAAATCAAAGTGGTAAACATCAATATCTACTGAGAATAAATTACAATCAGCTGATAAGTAGCAATAATGGGATAGTGCAGAAGATTTGTAGCTCAGGTGGATGATTTTGGTGGAGTTTTGTTCTCTGAGCTGGATGGTTTGGTTATAGAGCTTTTATCGTTCTTCTGAACTAAATCATCAACACAAACTTCAAGACTTCTATTTAAATTTTGTGCTGACGATGTTGTTCCGAAGAACGATGAAACCTCCACAATCAAACCATCTAGCTCAGAGAACAAAATTCCACTAATAACAATAATGGATACGCCAAATTTCTGTAAAAAATCTTAAATGGTCTTTTCCGTTAGTAGTTCATTTTCACAATGAATTTCAAATGATTAAACGAAAATTTATTAATTTTAAAAGCGAACACTAATACTTACCTCTAATATTTGACGGGAATCGACTATGGGATAATTTTCCAGTTGTTGTGATTGCTGACATTTTTAAATTTTTATCATGAAATGAACCACTGGAATCATTTGAACTAATTGAACCCATTATTGATGGTTCCATTCGAGTTCCCATTCGTGGTAATCTAGTTGACATATTATGACTATTATCTTTGGTAGATAATAATGGTGATCCATTTGAAATTCCTTCATTAGATTTATTAATTATACATTTAGTATTTTGTAAGTTATTATTTCCAGTTGAATAATAACAATTTTCTGTTGGTCGATTTGATATTTTTGACGATAACAATGATGAGGATGACGTTGTTGTTGTTGCTGTTGGAATGGATGATGAATTGATCCCTGAATCTGTCGTTGATGTTATCATCTTCGTTGACATTGGTTTTGGTTGTACAATAGAATCATTTCCTTCATATTGACTAGCACAATTACCAACAATAGATAACGGATATTGTATTCTATTATATTGCAATTTAGCTTGTACTAATTGTCTACAATGTACTGCTAATGATTGCATTAAACGTCCAAGTTGCACAAGTTCTTGATCGATTGGATCAATTGAATCGTAATCACTGAATACATCTGATGGAATTGTTAGTCTATGATCTAATGATGTAGCATCTTGTGATAATGAGTTACCAGATGAGATATTGTTTAATTGATCATTATCACATGTTAATTTAGTTATTTGTGCCAATCCATGAATAAAATTGGTACGTTGTTGTTGTTGGTATTGATGATGGTGGTGATGTTGATCATTATCAATTTCCTACATTTTTTTTAAAACAAGCAAAGTTTACGTTTTTCTAGGGAAAGAAAGTTTGTACTAGTAAGAAACTAGCCAAACAACTTTGCCAATTCAAAATGAAACTCAGTTACAAGGGTTTCAAAGAAGCTATTACCCATCAAACGAGAGTTCAGAAATTATATCGCCTGTGAATTAGTAATACAGATAGTCAAAAAAATGTTTTTTGAATAATTTTTCGTGGCCCGATATCTGACTTCTATTGGATCGTACGAATGATCGTTATCGAAATATACATCCTGACTACCCTCACATACAATCGTCGACTTAAATCGCGTTGGTGAGTAACGGAATTAAACAAGTCAAATATGAGAACAAAGTTTTGAATATGTATATTTTTTACAATCGTTGATCAGAACAGCCAAGCGATCAAAGGAGAGAGCAAAGCGAAACAGATTGGAGCTGGAAATGTTAGCTAATTTCTCTTAATTAAGCGTTACTCATTATTTATAGTCAAATTGAATCGAAGCGAAACGAAACAAGGCAAAGCAAGTCAAGGCGAGTAGAAGCAAATAATTAACAAGGTCAAAATGTAACTCAAGAAGAATGATTAATTTGTTGGTCCAGAACTAAAATAACCTATGTAGGCTCGACATAGGGCCAGCTATTACAAATGTACGCAAAATATAAACTGTATGCAACTGTTATTTCCAGACAGCATGAAATGGGGATAAATAGTTTGAATTTACTTCCTTCATGTTTATTTACCAGTTCAACTGAAGTAATGCAAAGAGTGACATCGTGTGTAAAATTTAAGAACTTCCTTAAATTTCTATACACTGTTTGTCTTTGTTAACAAAAGGATCAATATAAGAGATTTGGAGTTTTGAATTTTCTCACTTGATGGTCATAGCATACCAAATTGTAGGCAAAGAAAAAGGATTAAGGCATGAAGTACAAAGCTTGTAGATTTCATAAATTATGAAGAAGTTTATCTGGGATTAGTTTGATTTTTCGGTGATATTTGTCACAAACTAACCATAAATAAAATATCACTCTATACTAGAGGTGAGTTGATGGGTGTCTAGTTTTAGTATTAGGTCTCTCCGTAATATATACTCACGATCCTGTTAAGAGGCTAACCCAAGGCGTTCAGCTGTGGTAGTGAATGACATAGTCATCACCTATGATATTAAATAGTCGTTGAGGTGAATGTGAAGCATTGAATACCAACTCAGTGGTTTAATGATAACGATCTCGTCATGCGATATGAAGGTCTTGATTCCCACCCATTAGTGGTTTTGCATAATCACAGCTGAAGAGTCCTATACTAGGACGTAGAAGCAGTTCAGTGATCTCTGCTTTTCATTGATACTGAAGTTTACGTCAATCTACGTCAAATACTGTCAACATTTCATGACTAGTTTTTTACACTTTGTAATGTGTATAGGCATGCAGATATGAGGTCGAGTTTTCTCCAGTGTAAAGGATAATTCACACCTTTTTTAGTAAAGATAATATAAGGACTTATTCATCAGCCGAAATAAACGATGAAGATGCTACATTCGAAGACTTAGATATATCATATGTTCATAATTAGTTGAAACCAAAAAGATACAGGGAAGATTAAAGAAAGGGTTTGAATTGAGCTTAAGATGAATAAAACAACACATAGAGATAAATGGATAACAATAAATTATATGTTACTATTAAAATGTTGATTGTGTACACAAATTGTTTAATTTCTACGGTTTTGTAGATTCCTTGTAAATTAGGAGACATCAAACAACTGTTTTTAGTTTTGCTTGAAACTCTCCAACTGTTTACATCCCTGATTCCTACATCAAGAATAAGTGAAAAAACCATAAACCGTGAACCGTATCAAGTCACAAGTCGGATAGTTACTCATTAATGAAGTTGTATGAAAACTATGTTGGTGTTTTTCTGTGAAAGATAATACCATTAATATATATATATTTAAGGAAACATCTACGTCAGTGTATAGATTCACCATACATCAATACATGGTCATTCAAAAGAGACTTTATCAGCGTTCATGGCGCTTCAATATTTTATTAAATGTGTTAAACTGGGCATTTTTGTTCAGCTATATATATATAATAATTAAAATATAAACTTTATGTGCTTGAGTCAAGACTATAATTTATGGACGAACCAATCAGATTTAATATGATAGTTCTTGAATTTTGGCGAGAAGTTCATTCATCCATATAGTTATAGTTAAATAGCATTTCCTTTTTTGCATTATAGCTGATGTCATTCCGTGATAAAAACGCTAAATCTAATTCGTAACCCTAACATCCCAATTCCTTACACTAATTTATAACCCACATCTAAATCAACTAAGTAGAAAGATATTCTTACAGTGTTTGGCTTTTATTGTAAAAATGAAGTATATCAATGTAAGTTCAATCATGTAAGTTCAAATATTTATATTATTCATCTATTTATATATATCATATATTCATATTGGTTGAAGTTAAACATTAACACCGTTGAATGCCGGTGAGCTCAGTGGTCCAGAGGTTAAGCGTTCGTGCGCGAGACCAATAGGTTTTGGGTTCGAATCCTGTGAGTGGGGTCTTGGATGTGCCCTAATGAAGAGTCCCATACTAGGACGAAACGACCATCTAGTACTTCCAGGTTTTCCATAATGGTTTAGCTTCAATTGACTCGTGAGTTCATTTACTAAGTTCATATATTTATGTCCAAAAGTTTCATTTTGTAAACACCTTTCTTGTTTATAAATAAAGTCAACAGTAATTACAATCACATTCTAATTGATTTACTTCATGGAGAATTATATAAACTAATCGACTGTTAGATACATTCGCTCAGTTATTATTTCTTAAGTTTATAACATTCAAATATGAATATAGTTGAACAAATTAAAATAACTTTAAAATACATACTTGTTCTGAACTTTCTTCTGTACGTGCACTTTCATCAGTTGTTCTACCCATACCAGAATCTTGATCAGGTCGTTTATAAACCTTGAAGTTAATATAAATATAAATAAACAATTTGTATTCAATTAGCAATAATTATAATAATCCGAAATACATCAAAAATCATTTCAATGAATTCTTATTTATTTCTATACAACATGGATGCGCACTGCTGAGCAGTCCCACAATAGGACGAAATGGCCGTCCAGTGCTTCCAAGTTTTTCATTGTGGTCTAGCTTCAATTGACTCATGATTTCAACTATTGAAAATATTACAGTTAAAATACAATTTATATTAGAATAACTAGATTCAAAGTACAACTATCTTTCTTTGAAAATAGGAAGAGTTTTGAAGTATGTTTGTTCATATTGTAGTGTCAGTTACTATGTTAAGTCCACAAAGCTTATTCTAGCTTTCGATCAGACAAGTTTATTCATTCTTCTTGAGTTACGTTTTGACCTTGTTAGTTATTCACTTATCAACCCTAACTGTTTATATAAGAGCGTGTGTGTATGCGATTCTTATCCTATTCGTCACATGTCTGTAGCTTATTTTTGTATGAATATTAATATCGATTAACGCTTGATTAAATGGAGTTGGCTCACACACCTCCATTGCTCATACTTTCGTTTCGCTTCGCTTTCTCTTATTCGCTTCATTCACTGCGATTCCCTGATTGTCTGTTCCGATCAACGAGTGTACAAAATTTACGTATCTAGACATCCATACTCATATTTGTCTTATTTAATTCTATTATTAGCTAACGTGGATTAAGTCGATACTTATATAAGAGGATAGACGAAATGTGCATGTTTCAATAACAATCAGTCATACGATCTAATTGAAGACAGATATTGGGTCATTAAAATATCATTTGTGAAACTGTTACGAAATTCATGAAGTATTATACAACAATGTGTAATCGCAATTGTGGTAGATATACAATTTGAATGCATTTGACCTTAAGATGAGAGCGTAATCATATAGCCCAGTAGCCAATACTATCAAATTCAATCAATTTTGACAACTATTCCCTTTCATCGGTAGTGACTCGTTCTCGCTCGCTCGCCCGCTAGAGACAGCAGAATATAGTATACTAATACGATACTCGAACGTATAGAACCCCGCAGTCGCAAATCAGAAGACAGAAGAAAGCTCGAGAAGTGTTTGTTGGGTAAGAATCAAAGTGTACAGAAAATTATGGGTATTTGTAGATATTAGCGTTTGTTATTTCTAAAAAGCTCCATCACTTTCTGACTGAATGGAACCTCTTTGTCTCCTTTAAAACTTCTTGAGGCTGCGCCTTAGTTCTCGGAAGCCGTCCCAATAACAACAATTAAAATAAATCATTCTTCTAATTTTTGCGTTGCTTATCATCCCAGATTATGAAAGTGGGTAGATTACATTCACAGTTTTCAAGGAGCACCAGATCTTATTATAAGTGTCAATTAGCACTAAACTTAAGTCAAGAAGTTTCTTATTGAGTACATGTAAACCATCTGATATTTCAACATAGTGTACACGATATCTAATCACTTAGTTTACTGACCACATGTTCTATGTGCTATCAAATGCTCTGATACGGCCGAGAGTGGAGAGAGTCAGCTCTCGCTCTCAAAATGCTCTAAAGTGGTCATGTGCATACAACCACTTCCAGGGAAATCCTACTCACTGACTTCTCGTGGCGGGAGTATTGTTTACGAAGTTGCGAAAACGAAAAGCGAATATCCAGTGCTTTAACCTGGTTGGTGGGCATGGAGGTTTCACCTAGTGGAGTTGGAAAACACTGATTCCAAACCAACAGTGCATATGGGCCCCAGGATCCTAAGGAAACAAATGGCGTATGAACCGGTTGCTGATCACCGGCTACCATAGGACTGTATCTCCTGACGCTGCTCTGCTGCCTTGTGGGTCAGTCCTTTAGGTCATAGGCCCAGAGTGTGTCATTCCAAGAAAACCACCTACTTCAGTTCGGGCACCCGGGCAGTATCCCAACTCTCACATAAATCCAATGATTTATGTGGCGCATATCTATTCGGTGCCTCCTTATACCAATGTTTATGAGTTTAAATAAATAAATGTTCTAAAACAGCTTGATTATACTAATTCTTTAATGAAATATTAAGAACTCTAATGATGTCTTGTTCTTGTCAATAAATGCATCAAACTATAATTTTTGATAAAAAATGGATCAATTTTAATTGATGAAATAGTTTTCTAGATCGTTTTTGTAAGGTGACCTGTGAATTCAATTCATTTCTCATGTTTGTTTTTTTGTTCATTCAATAAATGTCTATGACAGTTTTAGAATTAATATATCGTCTGAGATTAAAACATATATTATACACTAATATGATTGAAGAAATCGCTGGTCGGCGGAGATTAAATGTTATCTTTTGTCTCAGTAATGTTCGAATATATGTATAGGGAGAGAGAGAGAGGAGCGGTAAGTTCTTATTGACCTGTTGGGTGGTTGATGATAGTCTGTAGAAAAACCTGTTCGACATACTCGTTGACATTCATTCGTGAAGTATACTCACAGTCTTTAAGAAAATAATGCTTTGTTCAATGGGATTTAATATTACATCATTCATTTTCACAGTTTGAGATATTACCATTGAGCCTTTGTATCAACTTCATTTAACTGTAAACATAATGTTAATGATATCACAGACAATAATAGAATGTTATCAGAAGGGGTTTTGTGGAGATTTTAGAAATTTCAATAGTTGAAATTATGAGTCAGTTGAAGCTAGACCACTTGGAATTCTAGTGAGAAGCCATGACCATTAGAGTTCAACCACGTCTGTTGTGAGATATCAGCTCACTGAGGACAATGGAATGCTGTGGCACAAATTCGTGGATTGGTTGAAGTTAGACATTAACATCGTTGGATGCCGGTCGGATCAGTGGTCTAATGGTTAAGCGCTTGCACGCGAGACTGATAGGTCCTGAGTTAAAATCTCGTGAGGGGTGGGATCGTGGATGCGCACTTCTGAGGAGTCCCATATTAGGATGAAACGGCCGTCCAGTTCTTCCAGGTTTTCAATAATGGCCTAGCCTATTACCACAATCTTCACAAAACCCCCATTCTAATAGTTCTATATGAATTAGTTTTAGAAGATGTGATCAAGGATGACAATAAATACTCAATAATTAAAACTTTACTAATACCAAGACTGTGTGCATGAAGGACAGTTGACAAAGTCGTTCGAAGTGAAGACCGGTGTCAGGCAAGGTTGCTTACTCTCACCCTTCCTCTTTCTCCTGGTGATCGACTGCATCATGAAGACGTCAACATCTGAAGGGAAGCGCGGGATACAAAGGACATCTGGGATGCAGATGGACGATCTGGACTTCGGAGATGATCTGACCCTTCTATCGCAAACGCAACAACAAATGCAGGAGAAAACGACCAGTGTAGCAGCAGCCTCAGCAGCAGTAGGTCTCAATATACACAAAGGAAAAAGCTAGATTCTCCGATACAACACAGCATGCACCAATCCAGTCACAATTGACGGCGAAGATTTGGAAGATGTAAAAACCTTTACATATTTAGGCAGCATCATTGATGAACATGGTGGATCTGATGCAGATATGAAGGCGCGGATCGGCAAAGCAAGAGCAGCATATTTACAACTGAGGAACATCTGGAACTCAAAGCAACTGTCAACCAACACCAAGGTCAGGATTTTCAATACAAATGTCAAGACAGTTCTACTGTATGGGGCAGAAACCTGGAGAACTACGAAAGCCATCATTCAGAAAATACAGGTGTTTATTAACAGTTGTCTACGCAAAATACTTCAGATCCGTTGGATGGACACTATTAGCAACAACGTACTGTGGGAGAGAACAAACCAGATCCCAGCGGAGGAAGAAATCAGGAAGAGGCGCTGGAAGTGGATAAGACACACCTTGAGGAAAGCACCCAACTGCGTCGCAAGACAAGCCCTCACATGGAATCCTCAAGGCCAAAGGAGAAGCGGCAGACCAAAGAACACACTACGCCGGGAAATGGAGATAGACATGAGAAAAATGAACAAGAATTAGATGGAACTAGAAAAGAAGGCCCAGGACAGAGTGGGTTGGAAAATGCTGGTCGGCGGCCTATGCTCCATTAGAAGTAACAGGCGTAAGTAAGTAAGTAAGTAAGTAAGTAATACCAAGACTGTAACATAGTGACATGTAAACTAAGGTTAGGAATAATTATTTCCTTCTTTCTAAAATGATGTAGATAATTTTCATTTTGCTGACAAAAATTTATTATCAGTTATAACAATGTATACTATTTTCTTTAGCTGCTTTATATTAAACATAGAGAAATTATTGAAATGATTCGTGTTTAGCGCCTTGTGTAGTACTATAATGTACGCTACTTATGTCGACAGACATAAGTAGTATGTAATACTAATTGGAAGTAGAAACCCTGTCAACAGAAAGCTAAAAAGATCGAGTTGAAGAGAATAGAAGAGAAAATAGATAAGAATTATGGACTGGAAGAATCATACAGAATGTAAAAGATTAATGATGGAAATTTGCAAACAAAATATTCAGTGTATGATTCTTGTATTTTATCAATAAACTGGTTGTCCTCCAGCTGTTATCTGGACGATAACAATACCATTTTTGTCAGTAAGGGGTTTTATGATGATTTTTAAAGATTTCAATAGTTGAAATCATGAGTCAATTGAAGATACTCCACCATGGAAAACCTGCAAGCACTGGACGGCCGCTTCATCCTAGTATGGGACTCCTCAACATTACGCATCCACAATCCCGCCCCTCACGAGATTCGAACCCAGGACCTACTGGTTCCGTGCGCGAGCAGTTAACCACTAGACCACTGAGCCAACCGGCCTCCCACGATGTTAATGTCTAACTTCAACCAATCCACGAATTTGTGCTACCACATTCCATTGTCCTCAGTGAGCCGATATCTCACAACAGACGTGGTTGCACTCTACTGGTCACGGTTTCTCACTAGAACTCCAGGAAATGCCTCTTCAATTCATTTCATTGAACATTATACCCTTAAAAATGATATGACCTATCCAATAGTTTAACTTGTTGAATTCACTAATAGAAAAAAATACAAAATTAGAATACAATTACGTATTCAAGTTTTTAGTATTATGATTAAATCTTATATTTACTATATTGCCAACAATCTACAAAGTCTATGTTTATTGATATCAATATATATATGTATTTGTGTATCTATGTGTTTATGTATGATCGTAATTAAAACGAGAATTCTCTATAGATATACAAATAGGTGAGTCATAAAATATCATTTCTTGATACGTCTACAAACTGGTTCGTAAACTTTAATATATATTTTATCCTATCATAATACTACTAATAATAATGGTTCTGACATTTGACGGGAAGTCAATAATCATTTTTACATAGACATAGTGAAATTAGATGTTGATGATTAATAATACTAGTAGTATTGGTCATTGGTAATAATGAGAAAAAGAATAATAAATAAAGAATAATCATGAATTCTACGTTCATGGTAATATGAAATCAATCGGTATGAAAATTACTGAACTGACTAATATCAGATTGAAAAGTAAATAGAAATGAAAATAAAAAAGAATAAACTTATCTCGTCTTATTATAAATAAATCTTTATTGTATGAAAGTATATATGTAGTGTGGTAACATAATGAGTGAATGAAAGAGTAAGCGAAGGAGGAGGAAGAGGAGGAGGAGGAGGAGTATGGCTACCTGCTTGAATATCTATGCTACCTGTTCCTGCCATCTATATATTTCAACAAGTTATCTGTTTCTTGGTTTATTCTAACATATTATGTCTATTAATCACATAACCTATTCAGGTGACCTTTTGTTTTACAAGTTACAAAAAAGTACATTTACGACCTTTCTCTGTGAAAATTACAGAAAAAAGGAAACTACAATCAGAGTCATCGTGTTGGTTGGCAATGCGCATTGAAAGGAAAGAATATCAATCAGATGTTGATTTCTGAACCGCTAATATCTAGCTGAAGATCACTCAATATTTATTGCCAGGATCGATTAAGAACTGAGAAAAAGAAACGTGTCGAAATATACTCCTGGAGTTCTAGTGAGAGGCCGTTACCAGTGGAGTTCAACCACGTCTGTTGTGAGATATCAGCTCACTGAAGACAATGGAATGCGGTGGCGCAAATTCGTGGATTGGTTGAAGTTAGACATTAACATCGTTGGATGCCGGTCGGATCAGTGGTCTAGTGGTTAACTGCTCGCGCGCGGAACCAGTAGGTTCTGAGTTCGAATATTGCGAGGAGCGGGATTGTGGATGCGTAATGCTGAGGAATCCCATACTAGGATGAAACGGCCGTCCAGTTCTTCCAGGGTGTCCATGGTGGAGTATCTTCAATTGACTCATGATTTCAACCTGTGAGATATTTTATGCTGATAATTTTGCATTGTACCAAAAATATAACAGTGAGTAAAGCCATAATAATAATAATAATAATAGTAATAAAGAAGAAAAAGTGAGTTAGAATAGAAAAGTAAGCAAATTAGTGAAATGAAACGAATTAGTCTAAACTTGCTCGAAATTCTGAACATCTTATATCACTTCCAACTTCTTTGATCAGTTTTTACAATGGTCATATTTAGATAAGTGAATGAAAAGACTGAAAGACTAAAATTCAAGATATCATAGGAAAATGGAGATTCTAATAATTTGCTATATGACTGACTATTTAGATTTCTGATAAAAGTTTATGAGTCGACTAATTATATGGTTGAAGGTATTCGACAAGAAACCTTTTTTGACCTAATTTTTTTAAGGGGGGATTTTGCACTCGTCATTGATTCCCTCAAAATTACTTGTACATCTTATTGACAAATGCCAATTAATACAAAATTTGTGTCAAGCAGGATTTTCTATTGGCTATCTCAAACCACCTGAGATCTCAACACAATTCATCTGATGTCAAATCACTGATTAGTGAACTGATCACCTTATAACCTTGTTGATAAAATTCAATCATCACTAAAGAGCTATAACGTGATAATGATCACTATTTAATTGTAACTGTGTGATACCTCTGTGTGGTACCAATTCGTAGATTTCGGCTTCATTCTGTTTAAAGATCAATTGCAGAAATTATTTCCAGTCTTTTACAACCAAAATATTAGTAAAGACCATTGAATTTTTTAGAAGAAATAATACTGAATTCAATTATATGGGTAAGCAATGATAATTTCTCAGAAAAAAGAGATACAATCCTTTTATAACTAAACAAAGTCAGCGATGTAACCCTACACAAATTTAAAAATCCTCACAAATCATCTACACTGTAAGGTTCATTCATTGAGTTCTATCAAGAAGCTGTAATTCCTGAATTTTAAAAGCAAATATCACCAATAGCAATGGATAATGATAATACAATATCATTTATTGATCAAAGTTATAAATGTAAACCAATGGATGTAGGATTAATAGTTCAAATATCAAGTAGTGGATACAATCTTATCTAATAACTTTGTTTAAACAAAGCAAGGACGATGGTATTTACAGAATATGGTTCATTTAATGAATCTGATGGTTAGATTTCTTGTAAACTACTTTCAACTTACTTATGATTGTTGAATGATTCACTTGAACATTAAGTTATTAAGTGGGATGATTCAAACATAGTATCTTGTATATATACTTACATTGAATGAAACGAAACACAATTAATTCATGACACTCTGTAAATATTATTATTCTTGTTTTATTTATATTTCTAAACAAATTCCATTTTATAATAGTTCAGTATTCAGTCGAGAAGTAGTGACCAGTGGAGTTCAGCCAAGTCTGTTGTGAGATAGTAACTCATTGAAGACAACGGTGGATGTGTCGCTCAAGTTCGTGAATTAGTTGAAGTTAGACATTAACATCGTTGGATGCCGGTTGGCTCAGTGGTCTAGTGGTTAAGTGCTCGCGCGCGAAACCAGTAGGTCCTGTGTTCGAATCTTGCAGGGGTCAAGGTCGTGGATACGAACTGTTGAGGAGTCCCACAATAGGACAAAATGGCCGTCCAGTTCTTCCAGGTTTTCCATAGTGGTCTGGCTTCAACTGACTCATGATCTTAACCATTGAAGTTACAATAATTAATTCACAAATGTACATTTCTAACGAGTTTCGAAATAGAGACGAAACATTCATTTACTATTTCCTAGTTTTTAGTAGTCTTTTTTTCTTTTTAGAAAACAATAAACAGCAACAACAACAACAACAGTACAGTTTTTCATACAAAATTAGGAAGAAAAAAAGTGATAACAATAAAAAGAACAACAAAAAGCAAACTTCGATAATGTAATAAGAAAAGGAAGATTATCAGAACTGTGTGATATATTAGCGCAATGCATTTCGAACAATCTGATCACACATTACATACTTGTTAAGAACATTTATATATAAAAATAAAAAGTCAAAGGAAGGAGCAATCCTGATCTCAAAATTAGGGTATATGAACATGTACCAAAATGGTTTCAGGAACAAATAAAATCAAGTGACCCGATAAGAATAGAAGATAAGCATCCATCATCCTCGATTACTAAACATATAATTGAAACAGGCTATAAGATTGATCTTAACTCGGCTTTTGTGGTAATGTACAAAAGTGTAAAAAGGCATATACTAAGGTTTATTGAAGCCTTAACCATACGAAAATTCAAACCCTCTTTGTTTATTCAAAAACAGTTTGTTTTCAACTTAAACCTACTCTGGTAATATTACATTATTAATCAGAGTGATGAGGTTTGAATTGTTTTTACATTATTATTTTCTTTATTATCCTTGTCTCCTCTTACCCTCCATTTCTAGTTTAGTAGATCAGATGGTGGTTGGAGGTAGTCAACAGGAAACCCTGGACCCAATTTTCGTGCTACTTGGCACCCGTCAGCAAGGTGTACCTGTCATCTTGGGGGAACTGGTGCTTCCTGGCGGATTCGATCCCGTGTCATCCAGCTTCACAGTCAGAGACGTTAACACTGAGCTATCCGGGTCGCGACTGACCTCCTGCAGGAATGAGATATAGTCACAATTGATTGATCACTGGGTGGTGATCAATGTTATGTTTGTCAAGTCCTTATTAGTGCAGATCGAATGCTATCGACCATGTTGCAATGTGGCCACTAGTCTAGGTAACTCGATACTGAGTGCACTATTGTGAGATTAGATGGTGGTTTGAGGCAGTGTCGACTCACCTAGACTGGTGGCCACATTGCAACATGGTCGATAGCATTCGATCTGCACTAAGAAAGACTAGGCACACATGACCTTGATCACCACCCAGTGATCAGTCAATTATGATTAGCCTAGTAGATCATTTATTTTTATATATAAATGTTCTTAACAAGTATATAATGTGTGATTAGATTGTTCGAAATGTATTCCGCTAATATACATCATCACATTAGTTCTGATAATCTTTGTCTTCTTATTACACTATCGAAATCCATCAAATGGGATTAATTGATATATTTTTTAAAAAAAACATTATGTAAGGAAGATAAGTTCAGTGAAGAGTAACCTTCGTATTCACTTCCACAAACTTGACAGAACTTAATGAGTTTCTGCGTTATTCTGTCAAATTTGCCGAAGTGAATCCGAAGGTTACCATTCTTGAAAATGAATTTGCCGAAATCAGAACTCTTCACTGTACTAATCTTTCTTACTTCAAAACAAACAAACAAACATAAAACAAAAACTTACAGGATAATCTGTACAATTCTTATTGATAGTTGATATAGATAATTCATTATTTGTATAAAATTCATTGATTGATTCATTTTTTATTGTATTAGATTGGATTGTATTTAATGTCTTAGTGATTGTTGAATTTATATTGATTAATGTATTATTCTCTTTTAATGTTTGACATTTTTCACGTGCAATCAATAATGTTACCTTTTTTTTACTTTGTTGAAATAAATCAATAACATGTTCTCTTGATTTAATTCGTTTACCATTGATACCTAATATTTGATCACCATTAATAATTTGTCCACATTGAGCAGCTAAACTATCATATTCTAACTAAGAAAATAAAGAATGATTTTAGAAAAAAAATGTCATTATTTAATAGATTGAAATCATGAGTCAATTGAAGCTAGACCATCATGGAAAACCTGGAAGCACTGGACGGTCTGTTGTGAGATATCAGCTCACTGAAGATAATGGTATACGGTGGCGCAACTTCGTGGAGTGGTTGAAGTTAGACATTAACACCTGTGGATCCCGGCTCAGTGGTCTAGTTGGTTAAGCGCTTGCACGCGAGACTGATAGGTCCTAGGTTCGTATCTCGCGGGGTGCGGGATTGTGGATGCGCACTGCTGAGGAGTCCCACACTAGGAAGAAACGGCCTTCCAGTGCTTCCAGGTTTTCCATGATGGAGTATCTTCAATTGTCTCATGATTTCAACCTGTGAAATTTCTAAAATCTCCACAAACCCTTCTCATATTATTTAATAATTAATATTAAATAGTAACATTGTTAGTTGGATATGTTGCTCAATGTTGTAAACTAAAATTAGATAGTAGAATTGGTGAATATGGTTGACTCAGTGGTCTAGAGGTTAAGGCGTTTGTGTGCGAGACCAATAGGTTCTTGCGAGGTGGGATCGTGAATAAGCACCGTTGAGGAGTCGTTACAATAAGATGAAATGACCATTCAGTGCTTCCAAATTTTCCATGATAGTCTAGCTTCAATTGATTCATAAGTTCAACTATTAAAATTATTATAATATCTACAAAAACCTCTTCTAAAAATTTAATAATTTAGTTGATAGGATTCTGTGGAGATTAGATTAATTTTTTTGGATTATACCCGTTGCAAATGATTGTGGTATTATGTTGTTCAAATTATATCAATGGACATGATCCAGTGACTCTAGTCGTTAAACTATTGATGCTAGATCAGAAAGTTCTAGGTACGTACTGTTTTTGAGTTTCATAATGTGACAACGAAACAGTTGCCCAGTGTTTTCTGGTTTTTGATGGTGTCGCAACGGAGACCAAACTGTAATGAATACAATCTATAAATTATGTAATAATAATTCAGCTGGTTTCAGTGTATTTTTTCCTGAGAAGGACTTGTTTATCGGAAAGAAACCGTTTTTGGCATATTCTATGTAAAAAAAAGGATTTAACTTAATCAATAACATAAAATCCTACAAATTTTAGTTTCAGCTTCTTGATTTGCTGTGGTTTTTTGGAGATTATTTTAACTTGGAGGTTATATTTATCATGAAATGACATCAGTTAGGGTACAATTGAAATATAGACAGCAGTAGATAGATGTTTAGTTTTAATATGAAACTTCTCAACAATGTCTCAGGTATTACCATGAACCTTCAGATCTCGATAATTTAGGCTACTGATATTATATACATTATTTCATATTTCTAATTTCATTCAAATGACAAAGAACAGCAACGACCACCCAGTTATCACTGTTGATATTAAGTGACCATCGCACTATACTGCAAATTAATTCCAGTTGAAAATGTAGAGTACTGAATACTAAATCAGTGGTTTAAAGATAAGGTGCAGGTTCTGCGTTCCATCCTCTGTGAGGTATTAGTTTCTAAAAGCTTTTAAATACAGGGATAGAGAAGGTTTCATGGATGATTAGCGTATTGTTATGTATTGTTGTACGTCCGTTGTTAAACTAGGAAATTAAGGTGATTTTACAAGACGACAATGCTCAGATGTAAACTTGACATACGACTACTTTCATTCACTTTCAAAATCTCTAAATGATTGAAATCGACAGTAAGAATAAAATTATAATAACTCGATATTAGCAGCTTTTTCTTGCATTATAAGCAAGAATGGATGATGGCTAGCCGTGGAATCCAGGACGTGTTTTTCGTTCCATTCAGAACTCAGAATTTGGATATACCTGCATCCCAGAGTTGATGTTCACTCCGAGACTCGAACCCAGTACCATTCGCTTCAAATGACGTCATGTTACCCACTCTAAAATGCAGACACATCCAGCCTACGAGCCCGAAATAGGAAGAAACGCGTGTCCTCGATTCCACTGCTAACTACTACCCATATTTGGTTAGAATGTTTTTGACCTTAGGCAATATTGAGGCAATACGCACAGGATGCACATATGCAAATGAAAGACTGTTCAATTACAGTCCTAAACATCAATCGGAAGATGTAAACAAATAATACAAAATGTAATTAAGCTTCTAAATTCATATTAATACATTATTGAACAATATTACCTTCTAGTCGGTTTAAAAAACACACAATAATGTAGAAACCCATTAAGAAAATATATGTAGTACTTAAATCTAACCAATTCAAGAGTAGAAAATGACAAATTCGTCTTATTTTAAAAGTAGGAGATTAACTTTGAATTTCCATTGTGAGAATAGTCTCAAGTTTTGTAGCATTATAATGGTTGGTTCTAATGAAGAGAAAGATGCAAATAGGTATGTGGTTACGGTAAAGTTTAGTAGAACAATGTTGGAATTCAAGGTAAAGGATGTTAAAGTTTATAGACGCATGTTTATAACTATCATAAAACTGGTGTAAAAATATTGAAAAATAGTCATATTTACGTTTACTCATAAAACAAGACCGCCAAATAAAACTCCTGTCATTTTTCTTTAATTCAACAGTACCTAAGACCTTCCTAGTATTTCAAAGATAATTATGGACAACTATTTCCTCTACAGTAGCCTCTACATCAATAGGCCTCAACATACACAAGGGGAAAACCAAGGTCCTTAAATACAACACGAAGAACACCAACTCAACCATACTTGATGGCGAAACTCTGGAAAATGTGAAATCCTTCATACACCTGGGAACCATCGTCTATAAAAAGAGAGGATCAGATGCAGACGTAGAGGTGAGGATTGACAAAGTAAGTACAACATTCCCACGATAGAAGAAAATATGGAACTCAAAACAACTGTCAACAAATACTCATGATCTTAACCATTGAAATTAATATAATATCCACAAAACCCATCTGATATTAATCAACATATGCTCACTAGTGACTGACTTCAAGAGGTATATCTTGGAGTAATAGTGAGAAACAGTGACCAGTGCAGTTCAACCAGGTCTGTTGTGAGATAGTAACTCACTGAAGACAATGGTGGATGTGTCGCTCAATTTCGTAGATTAGTTGAAGTTAGCCATAAACACCGTTGGATGCTGGTCGGCTCAGTGGTCTAGTGGTTAAGTGTTCGCGCGTGAAACCAGTAGGTCCTGGGTTAGAATTTCTCAGAAGGCGAGGTCGTGGATACGCACTGTTGAGGAGTCCCATGGTAGGGCGAAACGGCCATCCAGTGCTTCTAGGTTTTCTATGGTGGACTAGCTTCATGATCTTAACCATTGAAATTACTATAATATCCAAGAAACCCGTCTGTTATTTATTTGTTACTAAATTTAACTTATCTGAATTACCAAGGTTACTTATAGATCTCTAAATACCCTTGTTTTTCGTAGATAGACTAATTTCCTAAGTAAAGCTTTTCTACATATTTCTCTATTTCACTCTATCATTCATAATTCAAGTTCTGAAATAGGAAGCAGTTAGGAATTCCTTCATTATCAGGTGTTTAAGTGCCAAGTTTATCAGCACTTACTTGATTAACCTAGATCAAAACATTCATTATAGATCTGATAGTTTAAATGTTTAGTATTCAAGAAATTGAGTCGATAAACTTTATGACCGAGTATTATAAGGTATTTGGATTAGTTATTATACAATCGTCAATTTCTGTGCATTCATCATTGAAGGACGATCTTGTTAACACAAGATTTCATCAATTAACCTGATAATTATTACAATTAATTGTTAACGGTAATGAATCTATGAAACTTAGAGGTTTAATATTGATAATGATTGAATTATTATTCTGCCGATTATGTTTCGTTTATTAATTGCTTACAAGTACAAATGAACAAAAGCGACATGGAATCGCTAATAAAAGCAATGATAAATTCTAAAATGTAACCGCACATGTACATTGGACAACCATCTGTATGACAACATTCAAAAGTAGAAGTTTTGAAAATTAATATGACGTAAGTAATGTGATAATGGAGATGAATTTGACGATATATATGAACTACAATCTCCAACAACTGACTCATTTAGAAAATTCAGTAAAAATTCCAAATACTACTGATTTCACAATGCAGAAAGGAAATAAAACACTAACCCTAGAATGTTTTATTATTTATTTCTGATTACCATCAAGTGTCCAGAAAGATATCTGCTTTACAAACAAATGTTTGAACACTGTGGTTCTATCCAGTAAAGATAATAATATTATTAATTTATGGTATACCAGTTTAAGTATGTTTTCCAACGGAGTTAATAAAATTGTAACAGTTTGGCTTAGTATGAAAATAACTACCGAATTTTTATACATAGTATAGTTGGAGAAGATATTTACTTGACCATTCGGTAAAGACTTGTATTGCGTCAAAACATATTTAACCTAACAAACTAATTGCATGCCATATATGAGGCTAGTAAGTTAAAATGTTGATAATACGAATTGAATGAAGTTAGTAACGTTGAACATTTAAGTCGTGATTCAGTAGTCTAAGGGGTAAAGAGATCATTGTTAAAGCCTGAGATCAATGTGTTTAACACCTAATATGGCAATGGAAGTTCATTGATGAGAAGTTCAATACTAAGAAGAAATACCTATTTTATGGTTACTAGTTTTAAATAGATGATGAATTCTGTTTACTATTTAAAGAATTCTTAATAGATTATTCTGTTTATAAATTAGTTTTCTGCTTGTTAATAGAATACATTTAAAGATTTCAGTCGTAGAGAAACATTTTCTTGTATTGGAAAATATTAATAATGAAATAATGATAAATGATTGATATCTTAACGAGTATAAAACAGAATTTTTAAGGTTTTATGACTTAAGGTAAGATGATGACTGGAAGTAGTCGACAGGAAACCCTAGATCTCGGTTTCGTACTGCTTGGTACTCGTCAACAAGGTGTACCTGTCATCATGAGGGAACTGGTACTCCCTGACGAATTCCATCCCGTGTCATCCGGCTTCACAGTCAGAGACGTTACCACTGAGCGATCCGGGTCGCGATTGACTTCCTGTAGGACTGGGATGTATTTACAATTGACTGATCACCGAGTGGTGATCAATATTATGTATGTCATGTCCTTCTTAGTGCAGATTGAATCCTATCGACTTAGGGTAAATGAAAAGTTAAAAGTTGTTGTAAATTCTCTGTATACAATTAAATTCATATTTACATTAGAATTCTTTTTAAGCAAACAATCTTAGAATGACAGTACATTATGAATACCTTCCATTTTAAATATGAATCCGATATAATCTGAGAAGTATTTATCAGTTTAGAGGAATTTACAAAGAAATTCTTCTTGCTGATGTGAAATGTGTCATCTACATATCGATGATAGATGCAGAGACTGTTGATACTGAGAGCAGCACCTTCGATAATAATATCATTTAACATTACTCAATAACCAACAATAATTATTCTGTTACTGATAATAATAATATTAATATTAATTTTTAAATATGTAGGACAAATTAGACCTACCTCACCAACATAAACATTACAGCTTGTATTGGATGTATCACCCTGTCGATAACAAAGAGTTAAACCAAATTTTTCATCTGGTTTTTTACGACACAATGTAACCTCCTATTAGAAAAACAGAATAAAACTATTTTATTATATATAAGTTTATATGTGTTGGAGATTGATTTCAATTGAAATACCATTAATAATTGGGGAGCAATTTACAGATGTTTTATCCTAGTATGGGAGCCATTTAAAAGTATGGAAACACAACTCAAACCAATGACCAAACTCAGCACCTTCAATATTTATTATGAACATTTAGCAACCAAAGCTAGTGAGTCGACGTTCACTGACACAAATTCAAGTTCACTCAACTTTTTTTATTTCGAGAGAGAAGGTTATTCAGTACCATTTGTGACAACTGTTACATTCCTGACAAATCTAAACTCATACAGTTTTAACCTTTACTTAGAACATTAGGAACACCTGGAAATAGGTCATTAGTGAGATGGTTATTATATATTTGAAGAGAGGTGCAATATTGTATGTTGTGCTTTTATTCATTATTACTGCCCAATATATTAAATTCTAATTAAAATCAACAGGTGGGATATTTAAGAGCATTTGACAACTCATAGAGAAAGATAATACCGATATCAGATGGAGATTATGTTCACATTCAGCAAATATGACAATAATCTCTTAATTAAGTATACTCAACTTTCTCTATCGGGTTTTATTGATGTTTGTGTGTATGAAGAAAAAAGGAAACTAATGTACCCTAATTCGAAGTATCATTACCATTATGATTGCTATCAAGCTTCTATCAAATACCAAGTATACAACACTTATAAATACTTATGCATTCACAGATCATGTTTACTTTCTATCGTACACTTTTCTTGTAGTTTACATTGAACATTCATATTTAATAATTTTATCAACGACATTTATATTTACAATAGTCGGGTGTTTACCCACTACTTACAAGTGTACACATATTAGATAAGATAATAATATTAAATAACAATAATAATACCTGTATCCAACTCAATGGTAGTATTCTATTCTCTTTATACAACAATTACATTTTATGTATTATCATTATGATTTGTAATAATAGTAGTATGATCAAAATTTTAAACAAAAAAAAGAATCAAATGAAAACATCAATGATAAATATATTTTATTGTTGTTGTTGTTAAAGATTAAATCAAGTAACAAACTGAAAGAAAATGGCGCCACTCCCTTTTGTTTTCTTTATCTATGCATATGATGAAAACTACTATAAAAGATTGGTCATTGTAACTTATAGTCTTCTTTCTTCTCCAAAACAAATATATGTAGTTCCATTCTATCACTACGGATTTGTTTATTTATGTTATTGAAGAATGAGTTCAATCCAAGATCTAGTACATTCGATATTGAAGTATGATATAGTGTAATTTTTATCATGGATATGAATGTTTCTGCTTAAATGTAACATTGATTTTTATAGTTGATTAGGGTTACAGTAAATATTATTGAGATCAACAATTAATCTAAGTCAGATAATTATTGAAAACCAAAAATCACAGAATATCAGTTTCGTTCAAATATGGGATATATCGGTAGTGTATTATCCTGTAACTCAAATCTATATCACTCAACCGGGATTCATTGGTGTTTAAGTTCACCAATCTCCGCAATCTCATTCTGATAGTTTGAGTGAATAATTTAACTTAATAATAATCAACAATGGATAGTTTAAGTAAAGATGAATAGTGGCTAGTAGTTGAATCCAGTTTGATACGCGTTTCGTCATATTTGAGACTCGTCAGCTAGATGTACCTGCATCTCAGGGTTGATGTTCACTCAGGAACTCGAACCCAGTATTGTTCGTTTCAAATGCCATCGCGTTATCCACTTAACTACTGAGTTCTGATAGGCACTTGCTTTTATCTCCCCGGAGTAAACATCAACTCTGAGATGCAGGTACATCTAGCTGACGAGTCACAAATAGGACGAAACGCGCGTCAAACTGGATTCCACTGCTAGTCACTATCTATCTTTGCTTAAGAAGCTTGTGATTTAAAGCTACATCGAGGCAATCCGCACAGATTGCACATATGCCAACATGAGACTGATCAATTACAGTCGTAAAGAGCAATGGGAAGATACAAGTAAAGCAACACCAAGTGAATATTATTACGAATATATTAATTACAGATAGTTCGTATGTATCAGAAGGGGTTTGTTGAGATTTTAGAAAATTCACAGAGTGAAATCATGAGTCAATTGAAGCTAGACCACCATAGAAAACCTGGAAGCACTGGACGTCCGTTCCGTCCTAGTATGGGACTCCTCAGCAGTGCACATCCACGATCCCGCACCCCGCGAGACTCGAACTCAGGACCTACCAACTTCGCGCCAGTCGCTTAACCAACTAGATCACTGAGCCGGCATCCAACGATGTTAATCTCTAACTTCAACCAGTCCACGAAGTTTCGCCACCGTATACCATTGTCTTTAGTGAGCTGATACCTCACAACAGACCTGGTTGAACTGCACTGGTCACAGCTTCTCACTAGCACTATAAGAAATAACTCGTGAAGCCAGTCACTAGTGGGCATATGTTGATTAGTATCAGAAGGGGTTTTGTGGATATCATAGTAATTTTAATAGTTGAGATCATTAAATTTTGTACAAGTGGATATTGTTAATGCATGTTATGAGATTCATATTTTGAAAAATGTACCGAAGTCACATTTTATTGGTTGATCACATAACACTCATTATATAATATACCTAGAAATCTTTGAAACTTAGTGAATCATTGGTCGCTGAGTAGTATTTATCAATATCATGATTGTTTAGTCCTTCAATGATGATCAAATATTATTGATTAAGTTGTAATCTAATCACTAATCTAAGTAACTCAACATCGAATTTCTGTGTGCCGTGATATGAACTGGTTGGCAGTCGATATGAAACAAGAAATCAAAATGTTATTTTGGTTTTATATTTATCATTGATTCCTATAAAACTGATTTCATCACAACGAAGCTAGAATCCACTTTGTTCCAATCTACCTTAATAATACTTACTTACTTATGCCTGTTACTCCAAATGGAGTATAGGCTGCCGACCAGAATTCTCCAACTCACTCTGTCCTGAGCCTTTCTTTCTAGTTTGATCCAATTGTTGTTCATTCTTCTCATGTCTTTCTCCGTTTCTCGGCGTAATGTGTTCTTTGGACTACCACTTCTCCTTTAGTCTTGAAGATTCCATGTGAGGGCTTGCCTTGTGACACAGCTGTGTGCTTTCCTCAATATGTGTTCTGTCGACTCCCGGCGTTTCTTCCTGATTTCTTCTTTCACTGGAGTCTGATTTCTTCTCTCCCACAATAGGTTGTTGCAGATAGTGTCTGGCCAACGGATCCGAAATATTTTGCTTAGACAACTGTTAACAAACACTTATATCTTCTTGATGATTGATTTTGTAGTTCTCCAAGTTTCCTCCTTATACAGTAGAACTGTCTTGACATTTGTATTGAAAATTCTAACTTTGCTATTGGTTTACAGTTGTTTTGAGTTTCAGATATTCTTCAATTGTAGATATACTGCTCTTGCTTTGCTAATCCGTGCCTTGACATCTTTATCAGATCCATCATGTTTATCGATGATGCTGACCAGATATGTAAAGATGTTTACATCCTCTAAAGCTTTTCTATCACGTGTGATTCGATTGGTACATGTTGTAGTGTATCGGAGGGTCTTGCTTTTCCCTTTGTGTATATATCTTAATAATTCTTAACTTTTAATAGTAATATGTAGATAATTTTCAATTGAAACCATTATTTATTTTTAGGAAATACGGAATATACATTTATCTCTATTTAATGAAAGTAAACTGAATTGCTTTTCCTTTGGTATAGACTTTCTTTATACACATTTTATTCATTTACTTTTTTTGTATGGTACATTACAAATAGAATGAGATTAATGTAGAGTGATAAGTTTAAGCTTGTCTAAATTTCGTACAAATAAATTTAATAATAATAATAATGACAAATAATATTATACCTAATGTATGGTACGAAAATCTCTTTAATAAAATCAAGGTAAGTTTCACTATAGAACATGATAAAAATCACTTTTCTATTCCGATAAAATAAGAAACAAAAGATTATTAAACACCCTTTAATATGCGCATCCACGATCCCGCCCCCCGTGAGATTCGAACTCAGGATCTACCAATCTCTCGGGAGGCGGGATCGCGGGTGCGCACTGTTGAGGAGTCCTATACTAGGACGAAACGGCCGTCCAGTGCTTCCAGGTTTTCAATGGTGGTCTAGCTTCAATTGACTCATGATTTTAAACAGTAAAATTTATAAAATCTACACAAAACCCATTCTGACACTTTAATATGGTTGAATGGTTCTAGGTTTGACTCTTGATAGGTTTATATATGAATATGACTGGAACGTCCTGTAAAAGGACAAAATAATTGTTCAGCAACTTTTGATATTCAGTGGTTTGTAGAGTGATTTATATTTGGAGCTTATGTATAAGATCATCATCACATATACTTACTCCTTAAATTTAGCTATAATGGAGACAAAAAGATTTTTCTAGTATTGAAGATGATCACCTGTAGAGTTTTTGAATTCATGAAGATATTGTTTATTGTTTGATAGTTTTGATTATTGCTAAACTGAGAACACAGAATAATTATGTTGCTGTAGTTATAGATTAATCGGTAATATTTTTCTAAGTTGTCACACGATGTTGAGTCAATTATATTTAAGTCTTATAATAAGGACGATATTGCAATCTAGTGATTCATGTTCTGTACTTCAATCAATTTGTGATAGATTTTGAACTTCATTTTACGGCTCCGTTAAAACATTGTTGCTCTTCTGATATATTGAATAATACATAATATAATCTGTCGATAGCCCTTCTAGAAATATATCACTAACAAGAGAATAGCCAATTGGTGGTTAGCAATGGGACCTAAGGTGCTTGTTTCATCCTATGTGGGACTAGTCTGATGAATGTGCGTGAATCCTAATATTAATGAATATACAGATCATCTGCTCAGGATACACTTATTGTTTAATCACAATGTATAATATTAACTACCGGAAAATGTAATTAACAATTGTATAGTCAGTTTGTTATAGTAGTGTTTATTGACTTGCGGTTAATAATGACATGGTAATATAAATGATTAATGATATAAATATATATATATACATTGGGAAAATGGAACTAATGGTGAAAACGGTTATTTCATGATGTTCTATGAATAGTATTAGTACAGTAAAAAAAATGTATTAGCAATGATATGTCAAATCACTTACTTTAATCAATATATTCTCTGATTGATTAAATTTCATATCCCAAGTGACACCATCATTTCCTTCTTGGAATGTTATACTTTTATCTTGAATATCCGGTATTTCATCATATTCTATGTTATCATTTGAATAACATGGACAGTTAACTGATCTCGGATCACAGTTCACGTTGGATGAAGTAATAGCATCTTTTATTCGATCATTATTATTATTATTATTATCCTGTTCATCGACTTCATCATCATCACCATCGATATCAACATCGTCATCTTCATCAATATCATCATCATCGTCATCATCATCATCATCATCGTCTTCTTCAACTATATCCACAAGATCAGGAAATTCTGGATGGTAGATGCACTCAAAACTATTAAAATGAGGATAAATACGAATGATTAAATTTTCCATTATAATTTTCAGAAAGATAAAATTTAGATAAATTTCTATAGGAAGCTTTCATTTTTACTGCTATGATTGAACATTATGGATATTAAATTAAGTGTATGACTGCATAATATTTTTCAAACTTGTTTATTTAACCTTATACTTATCTTCAAGTCGTACACTATGTATATAGACGAACAGTATCAATAAACTATTCAAACAGGATCATGTTCAAACTATAGATCAAACTGTGTTTTTTTTAATTGATTTAAGGACTGACACAGTCATTTATCAGTTTACAAACATATATGGATTATTATTAATAAAGCTGTATAGTGACTAGTAGTGGAATCTAGGATGCACGTTTTATCTTCTTTGAGATTTGTTAGCTCAATCGACTCATATCTAAATGTAGATACTTACTTACTTACGCCTGTTACTTCTCGTGGAGGAGCATAAGTAGTTTGTTCTCTCCCACAGTAGGCTAGGCTGTTACTAATGGTATCCGGCCAATGGATGTTGAATATGTTGCTTAGACAACTGTTTATAAATACTTGTACCTTCTTGATGACGGTTGTATTTGTTCTGCAAGTTTCAGCTCCGTACAGTAGAACTAACTGTCTTGATGTTCGTATTGGAAACTGTAACAATGATATTTGTTGCCAGTTGTTTTGAGTTCCATATTTTCTTCTATCGTGGGAATGTTGTCCTTACTTTGTCAATCCTCGCCTTAACGTGTGCATCTGATCCTCTCTGTTCATCGACGATGCTTTGCAGGTACATGAAGCATTCCATATCTTCCAGATGTGTAGATGTAAATGTTCACAATTAAACCAAAACTCAGTATCTTCTATCTCAAACACTAATCCATTAGTCCCTAAGCTAGTGAGCCCATATAGATATTAGCTTATGGATTGAGTACGAGATTTGTTGGTAGTGGTGTACTTTTTTTTCTGTGTTAATGCTAGAGACTAAAGATTGTTAGTATCATTTGGTATATACAACCTTACTGAAACTAATGGACAGTTAACAATATCCAGATATCAGAAGGTTTTTGTGGACATTACAGTAATTTTAATGGTTAAGATCATAAGTCAATTGAAGCTAGATTATCATAGAAATCCTGGAATCACTCGACGGTCATTTCATTCTATCGTGGGATGCCTCAGCAGTTCTCATCCACCAGATTATCCTATAGCAACTTACGTGCAATTGAGTTTGTTCTCATTTAACTCATTTAAGCCCTTTTGTTAACTTATTTAGCGGACAAAGTCATCCATACTATAACAACTTATTGTACCTTTATTATTGTTGTGCTAGTATGAAATATGTAGGCTTGAACATTGCTTACCGCCTACGCATATATTCATTCTGCTAGCTTTATTATTTACTGCTTAATTGATTCGATGATCCATTCATTTCCCTATATATATTTATATATATATACATGTGCATTTACACTCCACACTCTCGGTCCGCTGACTCACTCATTCGCACCATTGCTTTGTGGTCTGAGTTATCTGCTAATAAAACTGTAGTCGCTGCTTCTCTTTGCCTTCTGATTTCAAACACCATTGAAAATTATATGGTGACGGTTACAAGGGTGATTGGTCAACGAAGCACAGCCACTACAATCCACTCAGAATATATAGACGTCAGAAGAAAAACATACTGCTTAATTACACACCTTAACACTAACAATGAAAATTCTTACAAATATTTATACATACATTCATTAGTTTTAAATGAGGAAGCTTCTATTTCCTTGTAATTCTTTCCTCTCTTTAAAGTTGATATCAGTTCAATATCAACACTGATAGCAAATTATGTAATTGTGGAAATAATCACATTTATATTATGAAAATAATTCCGACTTCATTTATTATCTTTACAACTAAGAAGAAAAATGTTGTTCTTTTTCAATGAACATTTCTTTTTACTTCGTTGTGTTTTACTTGAATATTTTAGTAAAGTATTTTCTCAACCAAGATTTTGCTATAGTCATCAAAAGATTCTAGATGTAATACACTGATCTCATTCACAGACAATGGTGTTATACATGAGACACACACACACAGAGAGAGAGAGAGAAGGGGGAGAGAAGTGGGGGGAACATATTACCATGTGAAAAAAATAAATTGTAGTAGACGATTTAAAAGAAGAAAAAGAATGCTATGTGACATTATGGAATAAGATGTGCTAACTATGTAGTGTGATAATAGAACATAATAATCAATATCTTGTTGCCAAATGTTTAACAGTAGACAAATCCTATCACTAAATGAATAAATTAACATTCAAGATTGATCGAATTGGTTCATAGTTAAACATGATGGTAAAATTATGTTGTATAAGAAACTTGAGAATGTTATTTCTACAAATGTCAGGAGATTAATATTCCTTTACCATAAATTTGAAATGTTATACGGATTTATAGTCGTGGAATAAAGAAATCCTCAGACTTAAATTTATTACTACTTTGAGATGGTGGAAAAGATTTGTAGCTCAGGTAGATGATTTGGATGGAGTTCTGTCCTCTAAACTGAATGGTTTGGTTGTAGAGCTTTCATCGTTCTTCTGAACGACATCATCACAAACTTCAGGTAGAAGTCAGACTTCTATCCAAATTATTACTACTTTGATTTTTAATGAAGCCAACAATTCAATACTAATATTTTGACAGTATTTTTGTATATATTTGATTGATTATTGAGGTTTAAAGTTCAATTCCATGTTTTTCACCTTTTTTAATGATGATTAAGTTCTGTTGATCAAATAGAAATGTGAACACTAGTCTAAGGGATATTACATGATTGCATGGTAGTTTACAGGGAACCTTGTTTAACACAGGTGATATACAATTTGGCACTAATCAGTAGATTCAAATCCTACAAGGAACATCATTTCCTAGAAGGTTATAAGTACAACTAGTAAGTGAATAAAAACTATCAGAAAACTTCGATAAAGTAGGGCTTTGTGTAGACTATCACCAAATGCCTAAATTTCTTTCTTAAATAGCAGTAACAATGATGGTCTAACATTGATTGAGTCATGATTTCAATAAAAACCTAAGATTTCAATTTCAAATAGATTCACAGAAATTAAACTTTATAATTAATGAAAGTATTTAAAACCCTTTATCCCTAAACCATTGATCTGGTATCCAACAATTTACAAGTCGAATTTCAATCAATTTCTAACATTGTGCAACCCTCTTTTAATACATATGGTGAATAACTGCATCACATTCATGATGATCATAGAGTTTAATTATATCAAGTGTGATGCAGTTATTTACAAAGTACATTAAAAGATTCTTACACGGTCTTGTAAATTAATTGAAACTTTCCACTTTGCTTTCCCTTAATTATTCAAATTTAATAATTGAATTCATGATTCAAATGAAGCTAGACCACCATTGAAAACCTGAAAGCACTGGGCGACGGTTTCATCCTAGTATGGGACTTCTCAGCAGCGCGTATCTACGTTCCCACTTCGAAAGATTCGAACTCAGAACCTATCAGTCTCGCATGCGAGCGCTTAACCTCTAGACCACTGAGTCAACCGACATCCGACGGTGTTAATGTCCAACTTTAACTAATTCACGAAATTGAGCGACATATTCACTACTGTTATCAGTGAGTTGCTATCTCACAACTGACCCGGTTGAACTGCACTGGTCACGGTTTCTCACTAGAACTCCAAGAAATACCTGTTGCAGATCGTCACTCTTGAGCATATGATGATTACAATCAGAGAGAGAGAGAGAGGTTCTGTGGATATTATAGTAATTTTAATAGTCGAATTCATGAGGACGAAACGGCCTTTGAATGCTTCCAGGTTTTCTATGATGATCTAACTTCAATTGACTCATGGATTCAATTATTTAAATTATTATAACATCCACAAAACCTCTCTTTGATTACATTTAAAATTTTCTTTAAAACAAAAACATCTAATTATTAAGGTAAAAAAACTATTTACATTTCTAGCCTTATAAGATACATTTTGTCTGATAACAGTAACTATGTACGAAGACACACACACACACACACAAAAACTATCTCTATGTTTAGTAACAACGTATCCATTCGAAAAAAAAGGATTCCATAATCATTGAGAAGATTGTAGAAGAAGGATTAAATGATAACTTATATAACAGTTATTAGGTCATCCTATAATATTGTACAAGTTCATAAACAGGTCAAAAATAAATGAAGAATGAAGCAAAACACAAATGATGAACTTGTCTGATAAGAAAAAGAAAAAAACGATATAACTCTATGGTTAAATATTGAAAAAGAAAATCAAAACAGTAACAGTAACAAAACATTACCAGGATGTAGGAATAATTAAAGCACTAGTCAAGAAACATTATTATTATTATTATTATTATTATTATTATTATTATTATTACCGGTTCCTAAGTAATAAATACTAGTAATGTGTACATTTTGATTAACCGATAATTACTGTTGAATGAAATCAACTGTGTATATTAAAGTTTGTGAAATTTAAAGTTAACCGGAAACTGCATATAAAGTAATAAAAAGAGAGAGAAAAAAAGTAGGAATATTATTATCAGAATCGGGGTTCGTGGGGATTGTATTAATATTAATAGTTGTATTCATGAATCGATATAAGCTAGACCACTATTGAAAACCTAGGAGTACTGGAAAGCTGTTTCTTCCTAGTATAGGATCACTCGGAAGTATGCATCCACGATTCCGCATATGGGACTTGAACTCAGGAGCTTCTGTTTTTCGCGCAAGCGCTTAACCCCTAGACCATGGATCCGTCATCTGATGGTGTTGATAGGCTGTGAAAGTTCATAAATCGGCTGAAGCTCGATATCAACACCGTCCTATTTTGGCTCAGTGGTCTAGAGGTTAGGTGTTTGTACACGAGACCGAACGCCTCGGGTTCAAGTCGTGAATGCACACTGATGAGGAGTCCCACAATATAACGAAACGGCCGTCCACTGCTTCCGGGTTTTTAATGGTGGTCTAGCTTATATCGATTTATGAATTCAACTATCAAGAAATTCTATTGTTTGAATACTTTGGGATATTTCTAACATCAATAACCCACACAGAAGAAAATCGATGAACTGATTGGCAGCCTGTTTAACTCTTTGGGATGTCTATTTGTTCGGGCTGTATGAAAAATATAGTAATAATAATAATAATAACTGTATTACTGGTTTGGATTTCTGATAACTCATCAAGTCCATTAACCATGTTATTTATCGATTGGCATAGATTATTAAGTTAAATACTATCAAATTAAAAAATTAACACACAATGTGGTTGGTAATACTCAACTACTTGTGTTAGGCTGTTAGTAGAACATGACATAATTAGATTGGAATTTATGCATTAAAACTCAATACAGTTGATTTTTAAAAAGTATAGGTGTATTTGTATGCTACATTTTGAACAGTTTGGTCACACTTATGCTTATCAAAGCATGAAAATAAATGTACATTAAATAACAGAACAACTATGGACAACAATCACTGAAGTATCCTGCCGATTAGTCATTTGTGAATGAAGAATTTCTAATAGCTTCCCTTTTTCAATAATATCCAGATGATGTTGTCTGAAAAAAACTGGTAGATTGAACCATTTAAACTCTATAAAAAGGTTTAGAAGATGTTTTTAAAGCCACTCTGACTAAATTATTTCAATGATTTGTCCTACTAACAAGGAGCAAAGTTTTCTACTGTGTATGGTTATCTACGTTTATGATCTTTTGCATTCTCTGCTGAAAATTAATTTCTGCAACCAAACATACACTACCGAACAAAGCAGTATTTAAATTGATTGATTATTAAGTAGTGACCGATGTCATATTTGTTTAGTCCTTCAGTGCTAATTGAATTTTATCAAAAAATTAACACAGACGTATCGCCTCAGACTGTATAGTTTGGCAACACATGATAGAATTCCATGTGGAGTGTTAGTTTCCTTCAGATTACAGGTACACATTATTGACGAGTGTCAACTAGCATGAAACCTAGGTGAAACATAGTTTCTTATCGAATACCTCAAACCACCTAAAATAAAACGTTGTATCGGTTCCACAAGAAATTCATTACTCATTTAAGTGATTATAAAATTATTCATTCTAACCAGGTTAGAATCTTCAGGATGATGTCAGTGAAAAATGTCTCGACTTCTTTGATGAAAGCTATTATAAGGTATTGTTTACATGATTTTATGAACAAATTATCCGTTGTCAGAATCAACGAATAAAGCATTAGTTGATTGTTGGTCTACAATAATACCATGCAACCGATCAAATCATTATTGTAAGTCTCTGAATAATCTGAGATCAAAGACAAGACTATTGAACAGAAGAATTTCAATCTATCTAGTAAAATGACACTCTTCTGTTCAAACTATTGACATGGAATGAATATGATCAATTATCAGATGGTATTGGAGTTAGCCAGTTTGCAGGTGACTCAATCTTTAATTAACAAACATCAGACTTAAGAATAATTCTTGGAATACATATCACAGATTTGTCACCACCTTCTCATGGCGGGAGTATTGTTTACGAAATTAAGAGAACGAAAAGCGAATGTCCGGCACTGGATTGATGGATATGGAGGTTCCACCTAGGGGAGTTGGAAAACCCTGATTTCAAACTAATTGTGCACATGGGCTCCATGATCCTGGGGCAACAAATGGCATATGAACTTATTGTCGGTCACCGGTTTCCATGGAATTGCAACTCCTGACGTTACTCCACTGCCTTGTGGATTAGACCTCTATGTCAAAGGTTTGGGGAGTGGCTTTTAGTATTCCAGCCATCACAGAAATCGAATGAGGAAGTGTGCGCATATATATTTGCTGCTTCCTTGTAACAGTGCTCATGTGTTTAAATAAAGAAATTAACTAAATTTTCTTTGTCTACAAAAGCAATAACAAAGCATAATGTACCTCGTTGGTAAACCAGAGTGTCTTATTGCAAGTGCAGTACGTATATCTTCGGTTGTTAATGCGGCAGCAGCCATCGCAGCCAAAGTTGCCTCAGCCGTACTTGGATCAGTTTGAATTGCAACAGAACATTTATTCTGATTGTCTAAACTGTTTACAGGACCAGAATTTGAATTTGGAGCAGATTTTTGTGATAATTCAACGTTTGGATCACGACGAGCGACTTCCACGATAATAGGTTCTTTAGCTGTTTGAAAAGCATGAATTGCCTGTTCATGTGTTGCATTTCTAAGATCTTGACCATTAACCTAATTTGTAATTAAATAAACAAAAAGGAACTTAAATTTGGATTGTAAACTGGAAATAATATTAATTTTTATAGATTAATTAGAAATTGTAGAACATGATTATGTTGAATTTACATTCAACTATTAGAAATTCGAACCGTATTTCACATTTTAGACTTAATATTCAACAAAATTAATAAATTGACGATTGAGAGTCTTGATAGTTTTAACTCCTTGTAAACCAATCTCGATATCACTGAACTGGTAATGTTTGGATGCCGACCCAGTCGTCTAGAGGTTAAGCGCTTGAGCGCAAGACCGACGGTCCTGGATTTGAATCCCGCGGGCGGGATCGTGGATGCACACTACTGAGGAGTCCCACAATGGGACGAAGCGGCCATCCAGTGCCTCCAGGTTTCCAATGGTGGTCTAACATCAATCAATTCATGATCTCAATCAAGTACATTATAGCTAACTTATTCAAGCGTAAAACTTCTCGGCAATTAATGGACATGATCCATTTATATGTAAGTTTATGACATAATTAGTTTTAATTTGAAGAGAGAGGAAATAATTATGGGTAATATTAAGCTTCATTCTGCAAGTGGATTTGCGTTAGCGGTAATTTGATTAATATGACGATAGCAGGAAGTTTTGTAATCATAAAAAAATAAAATATCCGGCGACTTTCTTAGTCATTTGAATTACCTTTAAATTACAGCATACTTACAAATGACATTACATTTTATTACAGTCTGACATTATATACTTATTTATAGACTAATAAGGCATCTCATCCCAAAAAAATTATCATTGAAAATTGAAATGGTGATAAATAACGCCTGAACTATTTATCTAATTCTCATTATAATCACATAATCTACTCTCTTGATATTTATACTCTAGATTACAATTGTATTATGTTGGAAGAACAATAACAGAATAGTGAAGCTCTAACTAACCCGCAAGTTAATTAACTTAAGTAGCGGAGCTGGATAATAATAATAATGATGAAATAATCTTGTAACGTTACTACTGAATAAATAATATTAAACATATATGTAAGTTTCGTAAATATTATTCACAATCTTGAATGGGATAGTATTGTCATCAAAGATTTAAGTCTGCTTATAACAAAATGAGAAGTTGCAAGTATAACCATATATAAATTTACCAGTGTTTAACTGACCTACATCTAATTATTCTCAAATTCTCGCCGTTGAGATATTTGACTTAAAGTTTATAAAGGATTAATGAGCTTTAAGTTAGATCGAACTGATAAGCATTTAACAAACCAAAAATTCAGACAAAAATAAATTTTCATATTAGATAGTGGTCAGAGGTAGTCGACAGGAAACCCTGGACCCGGGTTTCGTGCTACTTGACACTCGTCAGTAAGGTGTACCTGTCATATTGAGGGAACTGATACTCCCTGACGGATTCGATCCCGTGTCACCTAGCTTCACAGTCAGAGACGTTACCAATGAGCCATCTGGGTCGCTACCAACTTCCTATAAGAGTGAAATGTATTTACACTTGATTGGTCACTGAGTGATGATCAATGTCATGTATGTCATGTCCTTCTTAGTGCAGATCTCAATATAGTGCACACAGTGTTGAGTCATCTAGACTGGTGGTCACGTTGCAACTTGGTCGATAGCATTCGATTTGCACTAATAAGGACTTGACACACAGGACATTGATCACCACCCAATGATCAGTCAATTGTGAAATTTTCATATTAACTGTTTCCTATTGACTTCTATTTGATATCTATTGATAATGCAATGAGAAGACGAAGTTTATCAGGGTTATGTGATATATTTGCGCAGCAATATGGGTATGTGTGCCGCAACCTTTAGTTACAGATCACGACTGCTCCTCCCTATGTACGTGTTTCCGTACATACATATAAATGGATGGACATAATGAGGTATGGCACAATCGCTTAAGTGTTGTTCAGGTTTTTGGTGAAACATAGACCTTATCTTTTCAATAATGATAAACTCAAAATTATATTGTGAATCCGCTCTGGACAACTACTACATTTCATACTTAATTTGAACAGTTCAAATATTGATTACTAAGGTTTAGATAAGATAACAATAGTTGTTGCACTGTTCTTTTTTTTCTTATCTTGCTAAAATTTTCTTCTGTCCAAAGTGGAAATGAAAACACTGAATATTGAATATAGCAAAATTTATAGTTTAAATATTGATTATAACCATTATTCTAAACTTGGTTATAAGCTAACACCTCGTTAAATACATGATTAGCGTAACTACTTATAAATAAACTTCAAATTGTGTAGGGAAATAAGAAATATTCATACAATAACTTTTACAAATTCAGAATTCTGATTGATGTTAGGGAAGATACGAACAAGCTGTTTATCAGACTGTCAATTCCCATTTTGACTAGATTTAATGAATAGATTTAATGAAAAAATAACCTTGACCAATGATCGAGGTTATCCATAATTCTATCAGTCTAGAATGTCATTTCCTATAGTTCAGTAACCAGACTGTAGTTGAACACATCAAACAGAAACAAATTTCTATTATCTTTCATCATAATCCATACACTCATAGGTTGACTTAAGTTAGTTACTCGACCACACCCAAGATATAAATAATAGAGAATTCAGTAGATGTGAATTATTAATTAATAATCACTTAGGGGGGGCGGTTATGAAATATGTTTACAATATCAGAATGGGTTTTGTGGAGAGTTTTAGAAATTTCACAGGTTGAAATCATGAGTCAGTTGAAGCTCGACCACCATTGAAAACCTGGAAGCACTGGACGGCCGTTTCGTCCTAGTATGGGACTCCTCAGCAGTGCGCACCCACGATCCCGCACCACGCGGGGCTCGAACCCAGGACCTACTGGCTTCGCGCGCGTGCACTTAACCACTAGACCACTGAGCCGGCATCCAACGGTGTTAATGTCTAACTTCAACCAATCCAATATAGGGTATATTAAACTACAGTATTCCAATTATTCAATAACTAATCACTAAGACTATATATATAACAGATCTTCTACAAAATAACTGTAAAGTTTTTCAACTTCCCTAATATCCGTTCAATTCTAACATTAAACTATATGAATCTTTCCTATCAACATGATGAACGATTATCGAATATCATGAAAATGATCTACTTTCATAGTATAGATCAAAATTAAATTGATTTTAGATGTTAATCCAAAAAAAACCTCATTATCCTTTTCTTTCCTTTTTTTTATTATTAAACTATAGATACCCGTAAATTGTATGTAAAATCATTTAGTCCTAATTTTATGACAGTGAATGATGTGTGTGTGTATTTGTGTGAGTGTGGCTGTGTGTGTGAGTGTATATAATCTATAATGTTAGTAAGTTACCTAACAGTTCCCCAGTAAGTTTTTTTGTATTTTACAAAAAGAAAAATAGATTGATAACTAATTTTTTTGTTGTTTACTATTCACTTACAAAAGAAAGAAGGAAAGAAGAAAGGAGGGAAGGAAGGAATGAAAAAGAAAATCATGTAACCATCTGGTTTAAACTTAAACATAATGTCAATAGATTATTCACAATTTACGTGTTGAAAATACGAAAAAAAACCCAGATTGGTTGCATTTAATTAAAACAAAAAAAATATTCTCTCACTGATTATATATCTAAACAGTTTGCTTGTTTGTTTGTTTGTTTCCATACTCGTTTTTCTTTTACAATATACAAGTGGATTTAGTTAACATTGTGTTTATACATGTGTGCATATGTATGTATGTATGTATGTATGTATGTATGTATGTGTGTGTGTGTGTGTGTGTGTGCACCAATGTGTGCTGATCTAAACATACGCTTTATATTATTTCCACAATGCATATACCTCGTAACATCGATTCATCAATGATCAATGATTCATTATAGTACTAATTTACGGAGAGTAACAACAAAACTTAATATAGACAGGTGCCATTAGTAGTAGTAGTAGTAGTAGTATAAAAGTAAATAAATAAATAAATAACGAAAATATTATTATTCATTCCTTTAAATAAAAATATAATTGAATTAATTAATTGTTTAAATTAAATTCATTTATTCAAATCAAACAAACACAATGGTTAATTGTATAGATTACAGTTTAGTAAAACAATTCAGTTGGCGACATTAAAATAATAAAAATTAGAAAAAAGAAATCTCAATTACTTTGTTGGTTTATATAGATATAGATGGAAATAGATATTCGTTTTATGAATATGTTGATTAGAAAATTCATTCATATTTAATGACAGAAGGTTTGCAAGACGATTATGTCACACATATACACACACACTCTCTCTTTCTTAAAACTGTGCCGCTTCCCTTTTGGTGCACATGTTACATAATAAGAAAAACAAGCTGATAATATTTACAAATTTGATCGGTTTATACCTTTGAAGTGTATAATCTTTTTTTAAGTGGATAAAAATAGTCGACTAAGGTTTTATGTTAGTTGACTAGCTTCATAGTTTGAAAGAATAATGTTGAGATATTAAGACCGTGAATGACCACCTATGATACGAAGATTTTTGCACTTGAATAGTCATTGTGTAATGATCAGTTTCTAATCATTTTAGCTCTGATCGAGTTATACTGATCGATTTGTAACACCAAGTTACAGAATCTAGGTTTCTCGATGATTATCTTCATCTACCACCTTAGGTATCAAGAAAGCATGTCATGTCGAATAACTGGTGTTCATATTACAACTTTTCCAATGAACTAGATCAATACGAAGGGAAAAGATAGACATAACATTGGTCTTTACTCAGTGATCAGTCAACTGTATACATTTATTACCATCATTGAAGAAAATAAACCTCTCATCTAAATCTCAACACAAAGATTTCCAACCTACCATGTCAAATATAGTGACCCCGATAAGATCAAGGCATTAGTCCTATATTAATTATGGTTTAGAAGTCCAAGCTTTCCTGCATGATGACAACTATTCTTGGAGATTTGGATAATTTTAGAAAATATTTCAAAACCAA